GGATAAGTGAGATATGTCATTTTCTATGATGAATGAAACAGTATTTCATTATCTTAAAAATAGCTACTCCCTGCTCCTGAATAGGGATCAATCAGACGTGTGACTGTTCTAAAAAAAAAATCAGACGTGTGACTCTGTGTTGGGAGAGAGATGCTACGAGTAATCGTGTAGACCACAGGACAAGCTGTCGATGCCGAATATAGCCAGCTAACTCGCCATTCCCTAGGCTTGAAAATGACAAATCGTTCAGTCCAACGAACACATTGCCTTCTGTCCATCGTCTTCGAATTCGGGTACTTCGACCATCTGCCTAAACTGATGTACTAATAAGCACCCTCTAATTCCCATTCCTGTTATATTAAAATTTGATGAGACATGGTAACCACAAGGCTAAACATCTATACACACTTCACAGTTAACAATTGTCTTATGCCAGATAGGACAAGAAATGAAATTTAAGCTTGTACCTATCCCAATAATTTGATGCTTAGACTCTGCAACTTGCTTCCCATTGGATGGAACTTTGCTTGCCTGATAAAGTTATAGGAGTGTGGAGTATTTCTTAGGTTATATAAGTTGCACCCAATTATTCAGAATTTGCTGTTAGAAAGCTACATTTCTTTTTGGTACTCTTCAGATGTGACCATAATTGCACGATCATTGATTTTGGAACATTCTGAGGCTACCCGACATGGCAATAATGTTCACGTACTGATCCATAGCTAACACCAAATGTTATGTTGATATGATTACATCATGATGTCCATATTAAGCACTTTCAGGCTCTTAACCCAGACCTCAGAGCATGCATGGGTTGGCCCCATGTTGCCCAGACGTAACCCCTCCAAAAACCTCAATTGATTGGTATGTGTCGACATCTCCATAGAATGTGACCATAATTAATGTCCTTGATGTGTAAGTTGTGACCAAATTAGAATCTTGGGCTTAGTTACATTCGGAATTAATGGGTTATCAGATAATCGTTTAGTATACTCAGATTTGAAGAATTAAGTAAGAAGGATGATTTTCCCAACATAGCACCACCTCTGAAGTTGAAAAACTAGTAAAAGATTTTAAGAGACATTATAGCTGTTAGAATATCTCCAAGCTAGGCCACAAATACTGGAGGAATAGCCCCTGATGGCCTGATCCATATCAGGATTCCACTCTCTTTCAATGCCAAAAAAATCGACACAGAACAAGAAGGGAAACACTTCTGCTGGACAAGGAAAAAAATAGGGTTAATTGGATCCACACAACTACAAATATGCTAAATTAGAAAAATATCACTCCTATTCGCGATATCGGCTGCCACTGAAATTTTGGAAAATTGGATCTATGTCACTCCGTCGCGTTTTTCATCCACTGTCCATTAATTTCCTAACTCCATGCCGTTTTCCAACTCCGGTCGAGCGGTGGCGAATGAGCTCGGCGGGTACGCATCTACCAGCCTCGCCACCCTGCAGGTGGCCGTCGTGCCTCCTACGCTAGCCTTGCCGCCCTCGCGGAGGAATCCGCGCACAAGGCGGAGCATGAAGGGGACGTCCAGCCTCGCGTCGGGCGGGTCGCAGCTGTAGCGGAACGCTGGGATCATGACGGCGCCGAGCGACGCCTGGTCTAGCCGCCACGCCGCGCGCGCGTCGAGGTCGGCGAGGAGCGTCGCGTCGGGCCCGGCCATGCTCCTGGCGTGGAGAAGCTGAAGCAGGAAGTCGCACTTGACGCCCTTGCAGAGAGTGCTGTAGTGGTCCAGGCAAACGAAGACCCGAAGGTCTGGCCGGCGCGCCGCCGCGGCCTTGACGCAGCTGAGCACGACGTCGGTGAGCGCCATCCCGTCGTGCGCATCGTCCACCACGACGGCGCCTTAGCGGGTGAGGAGCAGGTCGGCGGCGAGCTCGTGGAGGTGTACTTGACGACTGTGTCGGCGTCCGAGGAGCGGTCATCGAGGGCGATGGAGTACCCCACCTAGCGTTCGAGCTCGACGCGCATGTCGGCCGCGGCGTGGGTCGCCTCGAGCACAGCGGCGAGGCTGGTACGTCTGGGAGAAGACGACGCAGCCGTGGCCGGTGGCATGGAGCAGGCACGGGATCTGGCTGCTCTTACCTCTTGCCCCGACCCCTCACATCGACAGCCTCATCGGCAATGGCACCTCCGCCACCGGGAGAGGGCCTTCGATCCGCCGCCACCGCCGCCAATGTCAATCTCGCCTCCTCCCCTTACTTGGCCGAATGACGGAATGCGTCGACGGGGCTCGGAGAACGCGGCGGCTCCGGCGACTCCGCCGCTCTGCCTTTGCCGTTCACTGTCCGCCGCCCACGACGCCAGCCTTCGTGCCTCACCTCCTGGAAAAAGTGACGGGAAGGATGGAAAGAGTGACGGAAAGGACGGAAAACCTGATGGAGTGGCGTGGATTCAATTTCTCAAACTTTCAGTTGCACCTAGCCTAGCTGATATCGCGAATAGTAGTGGTATTTTTTCTATTTTGCCATATTTGCAGTAATATGGATCCAATTGAAAAAAAAAATGCTGCCAGTAGCAACAGTACTTTCACGGCCTTAAAGTTAAAACTTGCACACACTGTTGGTCTGTTGCTCATTCAATCGTTTGCATGCCCTGCAATCCTGATACCCTGCTGTTGCTCATGATCAGTCAGTTGCTCCCGAGACGCAACAACACTGTTGCTGCTGCTGCATGAATGCATCGATCATGTAGCCTGCACGAGCAGCGAAGGCAGCCAAATTTATGCTTTTTTTTTCCCTGAGAACAGTGCAAACGAGAGCTACCGGCTACTTGTGTGGTAGGGCAAATAGTGGTGTGATCAGTACTCTCCATGGCAGGCGAACTGGCGGAGGCTGGGCTCGCCATGCCGCTCTCACCTTGGCTGACTGCGCTACGGCTAGATTCAGCCAAACTGCACACTGCTTCGCGAGTTCGCGTGACGGCCCGGGCTGCCACGAGAACACACTCCGCGGCGTGGATTTCTACGGGTCTCTGCCGATTTTCTGCAGAGTCGTGGCGCTAGCTAGATCACTGCCTCACTGGCAAGCAAAGCAACAACACAGTGGTATGTGCATGGCTCCAAATAACCAACCGCTGTACCGCCCAGTGCCCACTATGGTCTACTTGATTCTACCGGCAAATTCTTGAGGGCATCTCGATCGATCACATACCGGAGAGTGCTAGGCACATGGGTTGCAATTTATACCTGTGATCAACGTGGCGGTCGTACGTGCATCACCAACCACAATATATGTGCCGTGCGTCAGTGTGTGTTTGCATAGGGAATAACAGGAACTTGGGAGTTCTATATGCTCGGTCTGGTTTTAAAATGTCCATTCAGTGAAGCAATGGATAAAATAATTTTTTCAAACTAATAATTGCACATGGGAAATAAAGACATCTTGGGATGTGTCCAATCAAGATTTTTAAATTTAAGAGAGAAAATTTATTATGGAGTATTACCTCCGTCCTAAACTGTTACTACTTCGTCTGTTTCAAAATAAGTACACATAGTACATGATGTGATATATCATAATACTATAAATTTGGACAAATATCTCTACTAATGATAGCAAATAATTTTGACAAAAAATTTAATCCAATCCTCTTTTTTTCTATAGAAAAGTGTGAGAATAATTTCACGGAGTTCGTGATGTAAAGTTCCTATATTTCAAAGAAACCATAAGGGGCGTAGGATTTTCAAAGCATTTAGCTCAAGTCCTTGAAAACACTCATAACTCTTCCATTCCAAAGAAGAGTTTGATCAAAGTGTGGCATGGTGCTTTTAAAATCCCCTTAGGAACAAACAATACTCACTCCATCCAAATATATTTATACGAGAATGCTAAAGAAAGTTTCCCTTCCAACGCATGTGCACGGTATCCGACATCCGCTATCGCGCCTACCACCCACGTGCACGCTTCTGTTCCTCTTCCTGTTCGCTACCCCACCATGATCATCGATATCATCGTTGTTTTCTCGTTGCGAAGACCACAACACCACATAGTCCCGTTGGTGCTAACCTCCTCTCTTGCGGTGGTGCCCTTGCCACCCTTCCCCTTCCACAACTTGATCATTGTTGCCATCCCGACCTCGCCGTTTGGTCAAGTGCCACCACAAAGGCCATGGCGAGCGACCAGCCGCCGTCGACGTTGGCTGCATCACAAGCTAAAACATGTACTCCATGCCGACCGCCTTCTTGGACTAGACCTACGCCATCTTTGCCTGATGGCAAACACGAGTTGTCGATCCACCTCGCTAGCGAACACGAGCCATCTCTTCTCCTGCAGGCTAAGCCTCTTGCGGTGGATGGTGAGGGCCTATCACCATGAGGTCTACCCACCTGCGCCCCTACCGCTCAATTCCACAGTTGACGAGCTAGATCCAGATGAGTGAGGTTGTGAGTTTCATAGATGGTGGCGTTGGAGCACAAAGCGTTGTCGTTGGCACCATTAGGGTACCGGGTCTAGTACCCACCTGATATCATCTTGTTCTAGAATAGATTAGGATTCAGCATGATAAGGTGTATTTCATTTCATTATGATAAGGTTTTGACCAACAAATATTAGAATATTTTTTACACAAATTTGATGTCACTATATTTGTACTCGAATTAAGTACTTACTATTATTCTTCTTTTGTATTACATAAATAATATATTAACGGAATAACTGCCAATCAAAGCTTTATCCTAATGAACTATTGAAACACCATACTTCTTGTATTTGGACGGGCGGTAATTCACAGTCCAATGATAAAACAATCCACTGATATTTTTGTTCCAAAAAACTTTAAAACGGTTGGAACTCGGAAATGATAAAAAAAGGATAAATATTCTTCATCATCTTAGCCATGCTGGGCCGGGTTTTTGCAGGCCCGTCCGAGGCTCGGTAAAAGTTCCGTTACCTTTTTGGGCGACAAAAGTACGTCTTACCCCACACGACCAAATTATGGCCTAATCACACCAAAATCCACTCCCTTCCAAACCCTCCCATCAATCACTCCTATAGTATACTCGTACTATACTACACTCTCATCTCCCCCTGCTCGTTGTCATGCTCTCCCATTCCATGGCTCCATCCATTTCGATTCCCAAACAGCCGCAGCTAGAGCTAGAGCTGAGCTAAGCTAGCTATTTCACGTGTCCATCGAGCCAAAGCCAACCTGTTGCTACAAGGTGAGCTGCTGCCGCCTACAACAACCGCGCGCTATCCAATGGAGGAAACCTAGCTTCTTCTTGATCCACAGTTTGTTTTGTGCGTGCAAAAGGTGTCTCGTTGAGAGGTGAGATCCTGCGGAGGCATGGCACTGGAGGCCGTGCTGCTCTCGCGTGGTGATCTGTTTGGTCGTCGTCGTTGCGCCATGGAAGGAGGAGGAGGTGGTTGGAGCAGCCCGTTCAGTGGCTTCGAGGGAGTGATGGATTTGGACGGCGGCAACTGGGACGCCGCCGCGTGCTCATCGATGCTTCTGCATGGCTTCCAGGAGCTAGAGATCCCTGCGGCCGCCGCTGCTGCTGCTGCCATGGCGCCGCCGCCGCCGCCGGTAGAGCCTGCTAATTGCGCGGAGAATGCAGGAGGGGTTGGTGGTCATCAGGAGGATCAGGCTGCGGTGGCGGCAGCGGCGACGGCGGTGCAGTCGGGGAGGAGGAAGCGGCGGCGGGCGAGGGCGGCGAAGAACAAGGAGGAGGTGGAGAGCCAGCGGATGACCCACATTGCCGTCGAGCGCAACCGCCGGAAGCAGATGAACGAGTACCTCGCCGTGCTCCGCTCCCTCATGCCGCCGTCCTACGCGCAAAGGGTAACACAGCTAGCTTGCTAGCTCACCTCACTGCCGGTCATTCCACGGCTTCGCCTCGCCGGCCGGCCGCCGGCCGCCGGCCGTACTGCTTTTGAGTTTTGATTTATCTTGCATTTGCATGGCGTTCTCTCTTCATGCATGTACTGCTTATGTGCGCAGGGTGATCAGGCGTCCATCGTCGGCGGCGCAATCAACTTCGTCAAGGAGCTGGAGCAGCTGCTCCAGTCGCTGGAGGCGCGGAAGAGTTCCCGGCAATGCGCGGCCCACGACGCGGCGGCAGCGGCGGCGCCGTTCGCCAGCTTCTTCACCTTCCCGCAGTACTCGATGAGCGCCGCCGCCGCCGCGGCGCCGGTGGCTCCCGTTGTGAACGAGTTGCACGGCCGTGACGACGGCGGAGCAGGCACCGCCGAGGCCGAGGCGTCAGGGTCGAAGCCGTCGGCGGTGGCCGACGTCGAGGTGACCATGGTGGAGAGCCACGCCAACCTGCGGGTGCTGTCACGGCGGCGGCCGAGGCAGCTGCTCCGGCTGGTGGTGGCGCTGCAGGGCCACCGGCTCACCGTGCTCCACCTCAACATGACCAGCGCCGGCCACATGGTTCTCTACTCGTTCAGCCTCAAGGTAAAAAAAAAATCCAAGTACGACTACTACAAATCTACAATCTACTACGCATTCCTCACATCTAGTACCATTACTAAACAATTTGATCTGATTGCAAACTAAACATATGTGTGGCTCTCAATCCAAGATGCATAGTACCTATATCTGGTTAGCAATATCACACTGAAACAAGTTGTTGGTGCCTAGGTTTCCGTGCATTTTGTATCTTGCTTTGTCTTGCACAACTGCTCCAAATTCCCCCATCTGTTTACTTTAATGGAGCTCAGCTGGAGTAGCTAAAAGGTTGCGGTTCCCTAAAAAAGGGCCATTGTTTGACCTGCCAATGGATCGTCATCTCAAGTGATCTCGTCGTCAATGGCAGGTGGAGGATGATTGCCAGCTTACGTCTGTGGATGAGATTGCAACCGCCGCTCATCAGATCATTGAGAAGATTCAAGAAGAGCAGGGCTGTAGTTTAGATTAGCAATTAGCATACCAACCAACTACGTTTACTAGCATGTATGAATGATGATGATTAGTTGTTCTAGCAAGTGAAGCCACTTCCTTGTGCAAACTAATATTATTGTGCCTTTATGTACTTAGCAGTTTCATTAATCATTAGTGTTGAATCATTTCATAATAATGGACTGATTTGTTCATATGTGGAGTGTGCAAGTGAAACGCATGCATGGTTAGCTGTGTACGTTACGTTTGAAAATAAAACTACGAATACTTATATGCTCTAGCTAGAGAACAATTGCATAGTAGACATGACACATGACATTCCTTGTGGGTGCTACCATGTTCCTTAGGACCTGACACAATTGACAGGAGCTATTTCAATACCTTCTTGCGAGGATTCTGTTTCCCTTGTGAAGCACCAATTACTGCCAAAATACCAAAGATTCCCCATCTTGTGGCCACACAGCTTGCCCGTTACTTTCCTGAACGTTCATTCTGCTCCTCCATCCTGTGATCAACCAAGTGAAGTTCATGCAAATAGCCAAAAAGCCCTCTCTAAAAATAGTTCTTCGGTTTATTCTGCTGTGTATACCGAAATTCTAAATATTACGAGAAGTTCAGATACCATGTAAAGGAATAGAAGCCCAACAAAAGAAAATGCTCAATCAGGCCTTTAGTTGGGCACTTGAAAGTGATGGGTTTAAAAAGTTTCAGTGTACCATAATCAGTTCGTTACAATAAACAAGATAGAAGCCTTTAAAGGAAAGCACAAACATGAACATCAAATCAGCAAAGCAAAGCAAAACGATACCAAGAAAACGATAAGAAAGAAATGAAAATAGGACGCAAGCTGTGTCCTCTCATTGACCCAAGAAAAGATTCTACAACAGGGTCCTTTACCTGATTGACCTTTTACCGTTTCTATCTAAGCATGATTGATCAAATAGTGAAAGAGCTGCACAGCCATTTCACCTATGTGATGCTTGCACCCTGATTGATTCGACCGACAGGACAAAACACATGTGCCACTTGCTCTCATGCTGCATGTCGTTTTCGCTCTTCAAATGTTCTGCTCCATCGAAGCATCATCTGGTAAAATAAAGAAGTGGAGCCACCTGAGAGAAAAGAAAAGGATAAACAGCAACGTCAGTGTGGAGTTAACTTCATGCACCAACCAATCACCCCAAAGTTCACCAACCAACCGTTCGCCCAAAAGGTCAAGTTGCTAGGGAAAGATGTGCAACTCTACTAGTATCACACAAGTAAAATGAAGAAAAAAAGATGGGCAACTCGATGTGTGCGTATAAATGTATCTGTGCACGCATGTGAGTGGCCATGAAAATGACAGATCCGTAAAACAAGGAAGCAAACCAAAGAACACAAGATATACTGGTAGGATCATCGAGTTGGACCATGACAGATAAACTTATGCACCTTATGCCTAGACGTATGCATAATGCATATTTGCATAGATGGAAGGATCGCATCTCATACATTGATTCAATAGAATGCAACTACTTTTTGCAGTATAGGGACACCAAAAAGGATAAAAAAAACATGGCTCAAAATCTGCAAAACAGGCTGTAGACCGAAACAAGATAGTTGTTACTTAAGTAGAATAACCATAGCTTATTATAATAGTCTCTGTGACAACCAATCTCCACAGCAGACATAGCATAGATCACAAATCTTTATAAAGACCTACTCCTGAGGGTCTATAGGTTAGAGGCGACTTATCTTCCTATTCCAGGACTCCATAAGAATAATGACAGAAAAACCTTTATGCTCCAAGTTGAACACTTGAACCTTGAAACAAGCAAAAGCACGGTGTCAGGAAATTTATAATCCTCTGTGAATTGAATAATAGACTATAAAGTAATATACTTCAGACAGAATTTCCTAACTGACTCCATTCAGATGAACCTGATTCATAATAAAGTGGTCCCATCAAACTAACCACGCATGAGATGAAAATGTTAGTGCTTCATCTTAATAAGAAAAACCTTCGGACAGACACCTACATGCATGCTAATCACAACTACAGGGAAATGCAAAAATGTAATTATTTAGTAGTACAAAATTATCAGGCTAAGACTTCTAAGCAGACAACTACATTGAATTCTAAACAAGATTGATACTAACCGTAGTTGTTGAAGATATGTAAGTAGAACCATACCGCTTGACTAAAAGTTATATGTAACAATAACCAAGAAATTGTAGAGTCTTCCCACACCTATTAGCATGTCATACACAACAAATAAAAACTCTAAGGTTTTAACTGTACAATTAATTTTTGTGAATAAATTTATTCTGAAATGAATTGTTTGATGGAAGCAGTGCCCAAATAGCACACAAAGATACACCTTAAGAACAGGTTTAGTTGGCTAGAGAGAGAGAGAGAGAGAAACATCTGTGTATTAAATGGAACGGAAAGCATAAATATTTTAGGGGGAAAAGGAGTGCTGTTCAAGTTTCAAACAGTGGAAGTCTGTCATACATATTGAAATATATCAGAATAGAAAAGCGAGAAAGCTAATATAACAATGCATGTCGAAACAAATGAATCATGCCAACCTAAATGGGTGCATATGTTACACTATAAAAGTACACTTTTCCTGCTCATCAACCAAAGTAGTCAGTGGACAACTGGAAAACAGCAGCGCAACCCCATCATGTAGCACAGAAACAAAAAAAAAAAAGACAGCTTAACAGATGCATAATTTTTGTTTGCTTGCATTTTTAATAAATAACCCCATTTGAACAAAGGGTTGGGAACAGGAAGAGATGAAACAATGATTGACAAAGAAGACGTAAAGGTTGCAACAAAGTCAAGCATAACTGCATCAGTGGATTTTTCAGTGGTTGCAAAGGTAGCTAAAAGAAGAACCAGCAGCAGCAACTTTGATGAAGCACGAGCGAAAAAAAAAATTTGGTTGGTGTGATATTTTATCAAATAAGACAATTTTATCTATGCATTAGCTCCCAAACAAAAAATGGTCTACTATGCAGTCTGCACATCTATCAATGAAGAAATTTGGAGGTACATGAGAGCTGAATTATAGCTGTAAAATGTTTGTTGCATAAGCTTCAACATATTAACAATCCAAGTTCCTTCCAGACATGTCCATTCCTTAATCTGAGATCTCACCCAAGCATGTTAAAGGGGCAGTAGGTAGACCATCAAGTAAACTAACACAGGAAATTCAAAACACAAGTACAATCAATATAAAGATATTTTTGTTCATCTATCAGAATAGCGAAGTAAGTGGTAAAAAACAATTAGTCTTTTAGATGTTTGATAGAAAGAATTTAACATGGTTGCTCAAGTCACATTTATATGTGCTGCAGTGCTTAAAAGTGAACTAAAGGTATGATTGTAGAAGGTAGTTATATATTCTTAAATTCATTATAATCCAGAAATATATGGATTCTTAACAGAATTCCTTGACAGTTGGGCATATTGATATTTACCAGAATTTGGAAGGTGGAATAGAGCTTTAAGAGAAGACACATCAGAATGTTGATATAGTGATCCCATATCTTTTCAAAATAAAAAAGAGACATTCATTGCATAAAAAAATAACAGGGGAAAAATATTTGTTCAACTTCTTTAAGCATGAATTGACAAACTTGATCCTCACTGAACAGGAGAGGAATGCCGAGACAAAGAACAGAGATATTGCACAGAAACACACAACTTCACTAACATGGAGAAGCTGCAACAGAGAGTAAATATAAATGTGTGATTTTTACTTTTACTAAATCATCTTAAAGCCTGCAAAGTTATAAAATGAATAGTTTTAGCGATTTCTACTAATGTAATTTGTTGAGACAAAAAAAAGAGCATAGATGGTTGCAATGCTGGAAAAAAAAACAATTCCTTTTTCTAATTAAACACAACGTCAAGTTAATTTATAACTGTCAAGTTGAATGTCTTTCTTTGAGATAAATACGATTTAATAAGAGTAAATTTAAATCAGTGTTTTAACCAAATATCGCATAAGACATTTAATGACATAGCCACAGCCGGTCAGCTACTAAACAAAGGCCAAGAGAAACTGAAAAAAAAAATGGCAACTGAGTGATACTTACTGCATCTAAATGCAGAAGTTTTGCAAAACTCTGAATCCTATGCTAAAGGCTAAACTGCACATGGAGAAGCAGGAGAGGAGACAATTTGAAAGTTATAGCCCTTTTCCAACCTGACTTACTCACAAAAATGGTTAGCTGATATGCTAGTTCTCCACAACCACTCTTTGCAGTTTGGCCTCCCCTAAGGCTGTCATTTGCTTTGTCTCTAATCCCACTTTTGTACAGATTTTTGGTAAAGCAATTACTGTAATTCAGTGTCTCATACACCAGCATTCAGGCTATACTCTGAATCAGTAACTTAGAGGTTTTCTTAATAGGAACTTCTTGACAGGCTGACTATTATGGAAACAGAGGTACAACAAATAAAAGGATAGGAGTCTGATTACAAAAACAGAATAGATCAGAGCCTTCAAGTGCAATTTGTCTAATTTGAAATGTAATGGAACTTCTTGAAATGCACCTTGCTTTGGGCTCCAAAACTGATACTTATAAAGAAGCGAGGAAAGTGGAAGAGCTGATATGAGGTACCTTGATCTGGTGAATCCTTCCTAAATCTGCAGGAGAAGCCACAGCATTACTTTTTAGTTCATGTATATCCTGCCAAAAAATAAAGCCTCATTCACAAAAGCTATTATATGTTAGCTCATTAGTGTCGAAGTACCAATTACGCATAATATTTCAGAGCATCCACTTGATAAATATACGTACCAAATTTCATAACATCGATTGATAAATAAGGTTAGCAGATGCTGAATTACTAACCAAGCCCTCATTTCTATATGTCCTCAATGCTATCCATGGTTTCATGCAAAAGTAAATGTCTAATAATAGCATCAGCCATTGTCAGCAAATGTTAGTTTACACAGCTATAGATAAATTGTTTTAGTGCATGTGCTATTTTCGTAGGTGATAATCCAACCCTACTTGCATTGTGTTACTCCCTCCGTTTCACAATGTAAGTCATTGTAGCATTTCCCACATTCATATTGATGTTAATGAATCTAGACATATATATCTATCTAGATTTATTAACATCGATACGAATGTGGGAAATGCTAGAATGACTTACATTGTGAAACGGAGGAAGTACATGATATAGAGAGAAGACAAACTTGAGTTTGTTCCTTCAAATTCACTAGATCCCAAGCTCAAAACTATGATACAGGCAACCTGGGAGGTACAAATTTACACGAGCTCATCAACTCAAGAAGTACTTATCACCTCCACAGTTACAATTGTCAACTCATTTGTCTCAGAAGGAGATTTTCTCCAAGAGCTACTTCAGCTCTCTGGTTATCTGGTATACGCTTTCTATCAAAAGACATGACACACTACCAGCTCCCAGCTTTGCTGAGGCTGCAACTCCCTTTGACAGCAAAATCATGCCAACTCACAGTGGTAACACAGCACTACTGGAGCGCCCATTCCGTGAGAAGAAGAACCCCTGCCCACTGCTCGACATCGATCTGCCAATCCCAAACCGCCCTGCCTGACAAGAGGAAGAAGACGTCCCTGTTGCATCCTTCTCTTTCACGCTGAATAACTTCATCTCTTGACCATTCGGAAATTTTCGATCACCCCGCATGGCATCGTCCTGCGCTTCAGGCACAACCACCAGGAATAACGGTGAGTCCATGGACGCCGAGCGCCGTATTGGCTTGGGCATCACCCTCCCACCATCCTCTGGTGAAGCTGCTGTGTCCTCACTTTGAGTGTCCGAAGAGGTGTCAGAATCCTCGGAGACATCGGCACGTGATTCCGATAGCGAGATTTCATCAAACACCTGGTGCTCTTCCGCTTGCCCACCACCCTCCGCCTCACCTTCGGTAGCCGTGGCGGGGAGATCGGAGGGAACGACGACTGGGGATCTGCAGAGCGGGCAGTTGACGTGTGCGCGGAGCCAGGTGTCGATGCAAGGCGCATGGAACGGATGCGAGCAGCGCGGGAGGAGGCGGACCAACTCCCCGTCGCGGAACTCGCCGAGGCACACCGCGCAGTCCCCTCCCCACCCAACTCCGGCGCGGTACTCCGCGGTGGCTATGGACGTGATGGTGGCCTCGTCCAGCCCCACCGTGCGGATGTACCACACGTGGTGCACATCCCCGCCGCCGCCCCCCGCCTCCTCATCCCCGTCGCCGAACCCGTCGTCGCCGGGGAGCGGCGCGGTCGCGGCCCGGCGCCGGCGGCGCAGGACGACGCGGCGGCGGTAGAGCAGGATCGTGGAGACAGAGAGCGAGATGAACAGGAAGGCGGAGAGGAGTGAGACGGTGAGGAGGAGGCGTACGGGGAGGTGGTGGTCGTCGACGGCCACGTCGACGCGCGGGACCACCGGCGACGGCGGCGGGGGCTCGGCGATCTCGTAGCAGCTGCCGCCTGGGCAGACCGGGTGGCAGTCGAGCGGGTAGGCCGAGCAGTCGACGGTGGCCGTCCCGTTGACGCGGCTCGGCCGCTCCGGGTACAACATGGCGGCGCGGAACACCTAGCGACGATCCGGCGGTGGCAGCTCGGCGGCGGCGACGGCGGCGCGCATCGGTGTGAGTACCCCGCGGCGGCGGCGGCGGCGGTGGTGGTGGAATTGGGGTGGAGACGTGGAGTGGATTGGTCGTTGTTGTTGGGTTTGGTAAAGGTTTGGGGGGGAATGCGTGGAGGTGGAGCTGGAGAGCACACACGCTACGAGTGCCAAAAAATTAAAGCACAGAATGACCTAATCTTTTGTATGCAGTCACTGATACTGTGGGTCCAGATTGCCAAGACACAAATTGGGGCCCACTACTCAGTGACAAGCAATCGGTTTTGCTGTAACGTATGGTCGTGCACATAGCAGCAGGCGGCGACCTCGGTTTACGGAAAGTCAAAGGCGATAATCCTAATTTTGAATGGAAACACTGCAGGCGAAAGGAAAGCTGAAGGAGTTATTCTCCCGTATCTGTAGAACGGCAGTAGCAAGTTGAAGAGATCTACCCCGTTGGTTTTGGCATCTGACGGCCTCAGTTCGTTGGTGAGAGAGGCAGCGAGATTTCGTTAGTGGCCCTATTTGGGGCCATGACAGTGAAGTGTCACTACTTAATACTACGAGTAATGGAGAAGACGACGACTGCACGGGTTAATTATGTGGCCGACAGTGGACGACTTTGTGACGCCGCCGCTGTTTAGGGTAATTTTTGTCCGACGGAATCGGGTTGGCTCTGTTAGGCAATATATTTAATCCAAATCCTAACGCAATCAGTGGGAGATCAATCGCAAAATCACCATCATCGATAAGCTTTTTCTGAAACTTTCCACCGCCAAGTATTTGATGGTCTCTGAATTCTCCTTGCGATTTTGAAACGACACTGCTGCGTTTGACTGGGAGTACTGGACCAAGAGGGGAGGACTAAAATATGACCCGGGCCAGCATAAGAATTGCTGGGCCGTCCCGAAGGAGTACGTGCCAAGTCGGCCCATCAGGCCCACGTAAACGGGAGGTAATTAAGGTCTGCGTCACGAAAGCGATTGATTGATCATCAGGTAATCCTCATGCGTAAATTGTACTCGTTCCTCTTCCTCCTCTACTACTCCAAGTCGTTTTTATCGAATTTTTAATGCGGATGACTAATCACTTCATCAGAAACACGATAGAACACGGCAATAACATATGGGTCGTTTCTTCCCTCCGTCCACCTACCGCTTGTTCCCCTAATTGATCTCTCCCCATGGCAACCCTCACGCTGCCGGCGACCGGAGCCGCCGCGCAACCCGGCCAGGAAGACCCAAGGTATGCGTTCCCTTGGTTGCTTATTTCTAAAGAATTTTACCTTTAACCAAAGTTGGATGTGAAATCGAGTGATTTGTTGGATTTGCTCCGTCTCGATGCAGCGGGATCAAGAATCCTGGCGATGGTGCGGGAGATTCGAGCGGCATCGACTCCGGGTATGTGGTCTCTGAGCAAGAACAGCGCTTTCTCTTGCTTGATTTTTGGAGAATTTTAGGTCAAGGGCTTGTATTAAGATGGTTGGTTTGTGTGGTCAGATGGGTTGTTCTGGGGAAATCTGACATAGTTCCGGCGGATTTGGCTGCCGCTGCCGCTGACGCCGGCCACCGACAGCTTGGGTTCTCGCCGTTACCGATGCTTCCAATTTGGTAGGAATTGGGGGAAGAAATACCGTATTGTACTGCTGTTCTGAGAACCATTGCGATTGATATCTCTCGTATTTTTCTCAGGGTGCAGATGGTGCTTGGAGGCGTAGTCTACACGGCCGTGCCGTTCTACAATAGGGCCAGGAAAGCCGAAGGTGCAATTACACAAATCCAATACCTGGTTGCTTTAGAGTTTAGACCCAATACAACTGCTAATTTGCAAATGTTATAGGAGTAAATCATTTCCCCTTAGCTCATTAATTGTTTGTGATCGCTTTAGATCCATACAACTACTAATCTTGCAAATGGCATTGGAGTAAATCATTTTCACCATAGCTCACTAATTGTTTATCAGTTATTCATATCAACTACCCCTTAAATGGCATACCCATATAACTCTACTTGTGTTGCTATGTTAGATGAGGTGACAAAAAATGTGGAAACTGCATTGGAGGTTGTGGAGCACGCCGCGGAGGTGACAGAGAAGTTAGCTGCTAATGTGGCCAATGCTCTACCAGAGAATGGTACCCTGCATAAGTTGGCCGAGGAGGTTGAGTACATTGCTGAGATAGTGGATAAGGATGCACAGAAGGTTGAAATCATCATAAAGAAGGTATGTATGTCAATTGTTGTGTATATATATCATCATGTCAAGGATATATATATTAGTAATGAGAATGTTATGTCCACGGTACATGATTAGCATGCTTTCTGTTTAGATGTAGTAGAAGTTACAGTTAGAAACATCATATGCAATTACATGTTTCTGACCATTTCAGACTATTGAATTGGCTTTTGACTAAAGGTTAGTTTGTTGTTGCTTGCAAGGAACCATGGACAGATTCAATTCTTTTTTTCAGCAGCTTCATAAACTATGAATTGGACAGATTCAATTCTTTTTTTCAGCAGCTTCATAAACTATGAATTAGACATGGCTTTGGGCTGGGGAAAGCATATGTTCACTTTGTACTGGGAAAGAAAACAAAGAGAGTTGGACATGGCTTCTCTCGAAACAAGCTTTGGTAGCTCAATTATAAATTTTCAAGAGAACTCTAGCATCTAGATGAGATGAAAAACAGCTTGCTTTTGTTACTGTATACACTATACATAGTTTCTTGTTGTCATTACCTGAATTATCAATATTAAATTTGACTGTTTACCATTATCCTGTTCATGTTGCAGATTGAAGATGTCAGCAATCGGATAGACGCTGCTGTGGAGCCTGTCATTGAAGAGCTCGAAAAGGAATTCAAACCATAGCCAAGCATCTGGTGGATCAGAAGGCCCAAAATTATTCTTGTTGTAAATATCGTTATTTTCTATTTTGTTCTTTCTAAGCATCTATTGTGTACATATATATTGTGATGCCCTAAAATGAAACCACGCCGTAGTTCTAGCAAGACTAGGTGATGGTGTGTTGGATGCTCGAAGCTGAAGCATCCTGTAATCTCGTTGTAAAATACAACTGAAGATCTAAAACAGTATATCGGATTGAAACTTGAAAGAACATATTCTTCTGCTGTTGTTTCATGCGTGCTAAATTACTCTTTTGATGTTGCTAATTATTTTTTCCCTTTGTTTGAAGGGAGGCCATGAAATATTAATCAGGGTTAGCACACTCAAAATTCAGACTGATTGGATTGTAGTAACTCGACTATCAATTGCCTTGCCACCAAAAATCTAGTCCAGAAATCTTTATGTAAACTGGAAGAGAAGTCAATCAGATTTATTACTTCAATATTGACATTCCAAGATCATACTTCTCACCTAGCTTATGAATTCAACTGCTCTTCTCACTTCAAAGTTTCAGGCGAAAGAGACTCTGTAATGTTTTCCGTTTCAGATATGCAAAGCATGTCTTTCAATTTGCATGCGTGGTACGATCAAATATGTTCACATTTGTGGATGGTATATTTGACCTAGAGATCTGGCATGGGAACGAACCCTCTACGACGATTAGCCAAGATTCTCGTTTGTCTGCCTGAAGGAAAAACTGTCAGATGCATCAGCTTCATAAAGCTTGTCAATTCAACTCGTCTGCTCATTTAACAGTCTCAGCGTGTCTGTCGAGTGAAGGAGACGAGAAATGCCTAGGGGTCTTCCGGCTAGCTCCACAAGGTGGTGGGCTAGACGACCTGGATTCAAAGCCTCACCCCTCCTAATTATTTGATATTAGGTCCTTCCCTAATATTCTAGTTTTTCGAGTGAAGGAGACTATGCCATGTTTGTTTTTCTGATATGCACAACAGCACAAGTTGTCTTCTTTTTGCGGTCAAATGCAGTATGACTATGAGCAGACATGGTTATATTATAGACTTGAAATGTTTGCATTGGTGAGTGATGACAGGCGACGAGGAGTTCAATCTGCACTCACTATTCCGCCGCCAGCTGCCGGAGCAAGAGCTCGGGCCACATCTCAGAATAGTGAGGTGTTATTGGTGTTGACGACGATGGTCAAGGAGGGCGGTAGGAGGAGGATGGCCACTGAGGTGGAGGAAGAGGACAAAGCGCTGCTGGGATGGAAAAACGGATCTGGGAGATACTAATATTTAGCCCTTATGCGTCAAGATCATCCCTCACACGGAATCCCTAGGCTACGTATCTGAAGCGCGCAAGCTCGATCTAACAGACAAACAAGCGACCGGTTGAGAGAAATCCCATCGATATGAGTTGCACGTGAGAGCCATCTCCAACAGCCTCCCTAAATCTCACTCTCCAAATATCTATTTATCAAGTCAAAATCGTTGTTTGCTCCAACAGTCTTTCCATTCACCCTCTCTACTCTAGGTCTATAGAAAAAAATGGTGGAATAATTTGCATGGGACCCACTAGCAATAGGTGGAGTGAGGGAGGGCATGGGCAATGGTGGAGAGAGAAAAGGGAAAAAGATGATGGGCCCACAGATGTCTAGTTCGTGTGGATGGCCAACGGCTGGCCAAATTTGGCTAGCTTGAGCCCATCTTTAGCCATTGCTATTTTTTGGCTAGGGGGATAGCCATTCCGTTGGAGTACATTTTTTGTCCAAAGTTGTTAAAATTTGGCTTGGAGAGTGGGATGGGGAGGCTGTTGGAGATGCTCTAACTACGTAAGTCGACATCTCAACGCACGTAATCCACAACCCCGTTGTTAATCCTCCAATAATCCAACTCCCTTTCCGACCCAACAAATATGGGCGCAGCTGGTTAGTCGAAACCTGTTCCGGCCTAACTAAAATGGGCCGCACGTAACTCCGAATAAAGGAATAAGTTTATATAGGTCTCTTAACTTGACGGCGCGTTTGATCATTATCATTGAACCTTAATACCAGATACCATGAGGCATTCAACTGTCAAAACCGGTGGACGGCACAGGAAAGCCGAAAGCTATACAAGCTCCTCGCCAGCCTACTTCATCATCGCCGTCGGGCACACCGCATGCCGCGCGTCGCGCACGGATGCATCGAGGTGGCGGCACGGGCATGCCACGCCATTGCCCGCTGCCACAACGCTGCTATCTGACCCATCGCCGCTCCTCAGGGACACCTGTGTGGTGAGGCTTGCGTCACCGCACCCGCGCTCTCCAACGCGCTCAAGCGGGCGCGTACACGCACCACCGCCGCACCGGTAGCGATGGTGTCAAGCCAGATGACCACCACATCGGCTTCGAGATGAAGAGGGATGTGTCGCTTACATGTGAAGCCAGAGCAGCTCGGCCTCACAGCTTGCGTGGTCGCTACCACCAGTGTTGCCGCCGACGTTGGCACTAGCCTACCCCCTTTGTCACCCTCCTCGTTGGCATGGATGCCCTCGCCATCCAAGTGAAGAGAAAAAGAGATAGGTGAAGAGAGAGAGGAGTAAAAAGGCCTTGACATGGTGAGGCCCACGCTTACTTAACGCTGTTGCTCGGGTCAAATTGCTACGTCAGACAAACCACCCGCTATATTGTCATGGGACCTATATTACACCAGTTTTGATAGTTAATAAACCCATTGTATATGTTATTGTGGTTCAAGAATGAGTATCGAGCTCGTTGTCAACTTAACGTGTGGGCCCCACATGTCAGGTCTCCACGTCAACTCTCTCTTTCCCCTCCTCTCTTTCTCTGTTTCTCTCCTTTCTCCCTCCCTCTCGCTCTCTGCTCTCGCAGGGCATGGGGATGCCGGCGCTAGGGCGCCCACGGCGGCGCGCGCGGCCGGGGTTGGCGTCGTCGGCGGCGGCGGGAAATGGGTTGTCATCGTCGTCGATGTTGTCGAGGAGGCTGAGGAGGTCGTCGGCCGTGGAGATGAGGAGGGAGCGGGAGCGGCGGCGGGCGCGGAGTAGTAGCCGCGGTGCGGGGAGGTGGCGGGCGGGACGGCGGTAGAGTGCGCCACGGTTTGCTGCTGCTTCCCCTTCGCCGTCGTCGAGCTCGTTGTCCTCGCGGCCATCCGCATCCCTGTCGCGCTGTTCGAGGTGGGCGATGCCCTCTTCTTCTTCTCACGCTCCTTGGACTCCGCCGCTCCCGCTCCCTCCTCATCTCCCTGGACGCCCACCTCGCGGCCGTCTCGTTCTCGGCCTCGGCGGCCGCCGCATCAGCGGTGGTATTGCTCTACTTCGCCTTTTACGAGGCCACCGAGCCGCTGACCACCGGGAAGGCGATGTTGTTGGGCGACGCTGGAGGAGCTCAGGCGGAGGCGGCGCTGGCGCCAGCGTCGGCCTCGCCCGTCACCGCGTCGTCGGCCGGATCTCCTCTCCCGCCTCACGCCCGTTGGCCTCGTCAGGCTCTCCGTCGAAGAGGTTGCGGCGAGGAGGGAGTCGGTAGAGGGGGGGACGGGAGGATGTGGCGGCACTCGATCTCTCCGCGGCGGAGAGTGCGGACGGGAGGATGCGGCCAGCGGAGGCGGCGTGCGAGCGAAGCAGAGTGGAGCGGAAGCGGAAGCGCGGCGGACGGCGGTGGAGGCAGGCAACGCCCCACGCGGCCGCGGCGCTGTCATGGGCAGCCCGCCTCCTCCCGCGCGCCGCCCCTTCTCCCCGCCGGTCGCCTTGTCCCCATCGGCTGCCGGCGCCGCTCCTTCTCCCTTCCCCTTGTCCCAGTTGGCCACCGCGTGCCATCCTTCTCCCCGCCGGTCGCCTTGTCCCCATCGGCTGCCGGCGCCGCTCCTTCTCCCTTCCCCTTGTCCCAGTTGGCCATCTCGTGCCACCCTTCTCCCCGCCGGTCGCGCCATCCTCCTCGCCGGCAGCCGCCCATCTGTTCGTTGTCAACTTGCAGAGAAGCGAGAGAGAGAGATGAGGAAGGGAGAGAAGAGGGGAAAGAGGGAGAGGACGCTGACGTGGACACCTGAAATGTGGGGCCCACGTGGGTCCCGTGTTGACTCAGCCGCCACGTAGACCAACACTGGGTTAAAACCACCGAAAGACCTCTGGTGACCGGTTTTGCATAGTTAAGGGACACCGTATATCTGGTTATTGCGGTTCGAGGATATTTTTTAATCCCGATGACAAGTTGAGGGACCTTCGGTGTACCTTTTCCAAGTCTTAATCCACGTTCAAGGGCCGCATGCAACCGGCCCAACTATTATGGTCGATCCAAAACTACGGGTACCAATTTAACATGTTTCTAAGGTGTCTAACTGAAAGAATGCCCAGGAGAGTCCATCGTGGCCATGGAAGCTCGATCGGACGGCGCTTGTGAACCCAATTGTGTCTTCCTCCCTCCCCCACCAACTCACCATGGCCGCCGCCATGTGTCCCCTAACCGACACCGCGAACGGCGAACACCCGCCGGTTCGATGAATGACCACCTCCATGTCTTCCCTTGTCATCGATCGCATCCCGTGAGACCGGCAGCCAGAGCTCCTGCCGGTCAATTTGACAAGGCGTGCGGCACCGGTCGGAGGCCGGAGATACGCAGAGTCGTCCTCTGACGAAGACATCGAAGTACATCCATCGTCAGCGGAAGTACACCGTTCGCCATGGCCACCGCCCCCCTTACGTCGGCGAGGTTGACGGGGATCAGAAATTCAGAACCCTGTGTTACACATTGTCCTTTCGAACCCGTACATCTTGGCGAAAGTTTCGCCGTCTCCGATAAGAGCGTCAGCGAGCAGCCATTGCTGATGTACATACTACACACAGATCACAAGAATCTTGGTAACAAGTATATCTGTACTAGGGGTTGCAGTGGTTGCAGCTGCACCGGTGTCCGTAGAGCTCGGGAGTCCTTATCTAGCGTCGCTGCTGTGAGCCGGCCGTGATGTCATGTACCTGCACCCGGTGGCGTTCCGGCGTGTTTGTCCTCTGCACCACTCACCCGCCGGTCAGCGCATTAGGTGAAACCGCGAAAGTGAAACAGTGCTGGACTACTGCTAGTATGCTCGATATCCGATCGATCGAGCTGCCCCCGTCCGCCCGTCCGTCCTGCAGAGAGACACATCACCGTGTGTGGAACATTCAGAGAGCTGCGGCAAAGCTAACCGTAGACATCACCTAACCCATCCATGGCTTTGTTTGATCGTATCTCTGGCGCTTTGGTATCAGTTCCCTGAACAGCCAGCAAAGCGTCGTTCAGCTGCGTAACATCTCCTTTTCAGTTTTCATTTGCCGATCCGTGGATACATGGATTGCTTGTCCAAAAGCTTATTTGCAGCTAGAAAAATGTGGTATATGTTCCTATCATGGAAAAAATAATGCGACGGGGGTGTGACTCTGCGTGTACTGCACAGAGGGAGGGAATGCTACCAGCTACTGAAACAACTCTGCACCTCCTGGAAGCTTTGAGTTGCACCAAAGGCATTCCAATTACTTTTTTTTTTCACATCTGAGCAAATTTATAGTGGTTTTTAGAAAGAATCCGATCGGAAAAGGGGATTGACAATTCGACATTGGCCAACTCTTTATCTGTACTTTGTCACTTGACTTATTCTCTGGCCGTGCGTATAAATAGACCCTGCCTACAACCTCCGGGCAAATGTGCAGCAGCAACAGTATAGCTGAGATTGGTCATCTGACATCCTTATCTCCCTCTCCCTCCAAGTGCCTAACCCAACTCTTCCCGAGCCTTTTTCTGATCATTGGACAAATGGCCGTCTCTTCAGCCGTTCTCGTTGGGCTACTCGTCGTGAGTTGCGCCGCGGTGGCCGCAGCCACGAGGTACACCGTCGGCGACGGCGAGGGCTGGACGACCGGCGTCAACTACAACAACTGGGCCAACGGCAAGTTTTTCAGACAAGGAGACGAACTCGGTGAGCAAAGCTCAGCTTTCTCTCATCACTAATACATACTCCATCTATCCCATAAAAAACGAATCTAGAATCAAATATGACATATTTTAGTATTACGAATCTAGATATATGTATGTCTAGATTCATAGTACTAGTAAGTGTCACATTCAGTACTAGCTTAATTTTTTATGGGACAGAGGGAGTAGTCGCTTGCACATATACTCACAGTCTCACACACACCTACGTGCTGGGAAAACACATGTGTTGGTGCAGTGTTCAACTACCAGGCGAGGGCGCACACGGTGACGGAGGTGAGCCAGACCAACTTCGACAGCTGCAACGGCAACAGCCCGCTGAGCAACGACAACGGGGGATCGACCACCATCAGGCTCTCCTACCCGGGCATGCACTACTTCATCTGCACCATCCCCGGCCACTGCAGCAGCGGCATGAAGCTCGCCGTGAACGTCAACGGTGACCCGTCGTACTCTGCCGCCTCTTCGCCGGCGGCGGCGAGCGCTGTCGCCGCCGCGGCAGCGGGGGCCCTGATCAAGCTCGCGCTGTTCTGATGGCCGCGGTGCATGCGAGCCAGGGTAGAGACAGTGCGTGGAAGCCATGCAGGTTCTTGTCGATCGGCCGTTGCACGTTGGTGACTCGTGCAATGAAGCTGACCGTGTTTCTTCTCGTTTCTCGTGTGATTTGGTCACCGTGCAACTCGTATGTAGTAATCACCTTAGTTTGTTGTGGTGATTCTAAATTTGCTTGTGCCACTGGTGTATCGTCGTGTCTGGGGGCTCTGGTTATGCATGCCATGGTTTGTGTTGGTGAAATTTCTTATGGTGGGTATAAATAAAACCAAGCATGTTAAAAACATGCTGGTGGTAATGGTATAGTCGTGGTTGTATAACTATACCGAAGTTTAATTACTTGACCTTTGTAATCACAGCTTGACCCCTCAACTTTAGCCTTTGCTCTCTATACTTGTTCCAGCAGTTGAATCCCTGTTGGGTGTATACATCCAAGTGAATGTAGAAGCCAGATTTTTAATTCATTTTCTAAAAAAAAATTCCTTGTTAGGCCTTGTTTGTGTAATCCTCAGTCACCCAACTAGATTAAGGGGGTTTCAAGGGGATTAGTTAATTCCACACTAAATCCCCTGCAATTCTATATAATCCCTTTCTTATGAGAATAAACGTATAAGGCCTTAAGAATAAATATTTCCCTTTACTATCCTCCAGCAAATCACACTACACGTCTTTTTACCGTTGGTGTTCTAAACTCTCGAAGGGTTATCCTCCCGTTATTTGCATGACATCCAAATGGTTATGAATTTTTTTAAAAAAAAATCAACAAAACATATTAGTATATGATAATTCACTCAACAAACACGCAAGTTAAAATTTAACTTCTACAAGTTTCAACGAAAAAACAAATTAAACTATGGCTAGTTAACGTATATTCGCAATAAAATTTGTTTTTTTCGTTGCAACTTGCACAAGTTAAATTTGGTCTTATATGTTTGTGGAGTTATTTAACACTTATTAACCAAGTATCTTGTTGATTTTTTTTCAATTTTTTCATAACCATCAGAATGACATGCAAACAACGAGGTGATAGATGTCCCCTCGCGAATTTAAAATAGGTTCCTGTGTCCATAATTATATATGCCCAAGCTTGTCCAACACACCTAAGTGCCAAGTTGCAAACTATTTGTGTTCTTTGAAGATATTATATTTATTTTTCTATTATATGAAAGACATGATCTCAAATGAAATGGTTCCATCGCAATATCGATCAGAAATCGTGAAAACCACACCATTTTTATGAAACTGTTTGGGATCGGTTTTGGCTGATTCTCTTACAGAGTTAACCAAAAATCATCGGATTTTGCTTAGTTTTAAGCAAACTGACAACGACCGGTTTTCACACCTTAAAAGAAGGCATTGCAAAACCCTGCGCATGAGTGTGCCCCTAGGCCCTTATTCTATGCTTAACTGAGGTTGAACCAGTGGCGAATCCAGGATGCAAAATGAGCTGGGGCTATGAAAAACTCAGTATGATTGAGACAAACAAGAACTATATCAACAAAAATATTTTGTAAATATAACCCAAATATGCAAATGCATGAATGAATAAGAACACACTTCTCTCTATATTTCAACTTGCTGTGGCTATATAAAATATCTAAAGAAATTTATTTATTAATAAATAGGTACTTCATGGTCTACTAAGAATGATCTATAAATAAAATATATCTGTCTTTGCCAGTTTGGCCTTGGCTGCAAGAAGTAGGGAAGTAGCTTGCCTTGCCGCCGGCCAATTTTTCACTAATTAATGATTAATTATAATTGCTAATAGCTGATTGGATGCAGGGATTGGAGGTGGGGCTGGCGCACTAACCAGCCCCAACAGTGGATCCGCCACTGGGTTGAACACAAGTGGATTCTAATCTCTCGAGTGGATGTCCACTCGTGTATCTTTTTCTTTAAAATTCAATGCAAATAATTATGAAAAATTCTGAAAAAAATTGACAATATAGAGTACAGTGATATCTACTAGTCCACCGAAAATCAAGTTCAAATTCGATCTACACATCGAGAAAAAAAAAGAGACAAATTCAGATATAAACAGTACGCTACTATTCATACGCTGAATTTGTCTTTTTTATATCTCGACGTGTGAGTTGAATTTGGACTTAATTAAGATTTTGTGAAGTTGTATATATATGTTCTATGAGTGTTGTCAAATGTTTCCAGAATTTTTTATAACCGTTTAAATGGTTTTTAGGCATCCCCTCGAGGAATCAAAATAGTTTCCCTAAAATTCAGAAGGAAAGCCCAACCTTCATTCTTTGGCAAAAAAAAGTATTTATGCTCGAGGAACATATTTTCGCTGTTGGAAGTTGGCATGCAATAAAAGAGTTTGCTCAAATAATGCTGCTATGTGAATGGTAGCAACCTAGAACCGAACAATGCCATGCGAAGTGTTTTGTAAGCTCTCTCTCTCTCTCTCTCTCTCTCTCTCTCTCTCTATATATATATATATATATATATATATATATATATATATATATATATATATATAATATAGGACACTCATATGGGGCACCATGGTGCCCGGGCACCATGGTATCAAATATACAAAATCACACAAATTTTTCAAAATTTTCAAATTGTGAGTATATACCTAGTTATAATAACTCGATTCATACCTATACCTATCAACAAAACAACTCAAATTTAACTTTATTTCACAATCCATGATTACATACCTAACTAATTATATGTATAGATGCTATATACCTAAAATCAAAATCTACCAAAAACAAGTTCAAATTCAGTTCAAACTTGCTTTGAACTAGTTAGTAAAGTAGCTAATGTTAATATCTAAGTAATTGAAAAAGTTTCATACTCATTTGAATTAGGTATATACTCAATTTCAACAATGGTGCCCGGGCACCATGGAGCACCAAACAAATTTATATATATATATATATATATATATATATATATATATATATATATATATATATATATATATATATATATATATATATATATATATATATATATATGGGGGGGGGGATCTGCATGAGGGGCGTAGTATCCATTTTACTGGGATTTATTGCAGTAAATATATAACTTTTGTCAGGCAGTGTAGTGTGTAGATGCTTTCCTATGCTAAATAACATCAAAGTGATTCAGAAAGAGCAAACTGTATTCAATTAGATAGAAGATGTACATGCACAGTAAAATTCCATGTTCTGCGCATGCATATGTAGTCCCTCATAGGCTCAACACACATGGTGGCTAATATAAAGATAAACTTTTGAACTAAAAAAATCAAATGTCGAAGACACCCACTTGTGCCAAAAGCAGGGGTATATATGTAGGATTTGAACGGTAGATTAGTGTCGTACTGGCCTACAACACTATCAATTTGTCAAATAGCAAATCCTAATTTGAAAAAATGAAAATCGATAGGTTACAAGCCTTACAACCTATTCCCTCCATCCATAAAAGTTAGACATGTTTCACATTTGAGTTTTTGAAATAAATTGTTCCTATTGGTAGTCTTTATATATTCAAAACTTAAATGAAGAGATAAATTAAATGTTTGATTAGAACCCAAGGAGTCATCTAAATACTCATTGGTTGTATGTTTGTATTTACTTCTTGATTTTATAACATCTAAGATTAATTTCTTCTTGGTCTTGATGACAAAAGTAATAGGTGTAACTTCTGTGAATGAAAGGAATACTTACTATATAGACACACAAGCTTAAAATTCTCTATGTCGAGTAAGAAAAAGAATGCCTATATATGTCGAGTGACATAAGCGTTTTGCAGATAGAAGAAATAATTTTTTTTCTCAGGTGAGAATAATTTGGGCGGCTCATTTGGGGCAAAAGTAGAATCACAGACAAAAAGAAAAATCGAGGGCATGAACGATGAAAGGGGAACCGGTCTGTTGGATGCATACGCGTGGTTATATTAGAAGTCTCTAATGCTGTCTGCAAAAGGCTCCTGCTTTTCCCAATTTGCCCTAGATTGCCTCAGAGAACTCTTGTGCTTTTCGTCATCTGGCAAACGCTTGCATCGCCAACTCTCTCAAAAGATAGGGCTAAGATAGAACGTGACGTCAAGTTACAGGGGACGGAACAGAACTTCAATTCAGAAGCATTAATTCTGATCAACTACGAACTGTAAGCATGAATCTTCATTCAGGTTTGCAAAGGGAAAAGGAAAGTAGTGTCTAGTCAGGTTATTGATCATTAGTCGTAGGTTCAGGTATGAAAAACTCGTAGCAAATGCAACCATATCCATACGCTGATATGCCAGATCCTTGTACGATTACTGCGAGCGCAATAAAAGAAATAAATGGACCTAATATAGTATTAAAGCCCAAAAGAAAGGCCTTGTATAGTTGTATGAACGCTAGCCTTTGTAAGCCCACCAGTGAGACATGAAAAGAAACAAATATTTTTAGGAAGTACCTATACATCTTTCGAAAGATTTTTATGATCGTATCACACGGATTTTTAATCTTTGGATTAAAATCCGATAGATATAATAAAAAGAAAAAAGCAATTAAGAAACACCTTAATGGACACTAAATTACCATATCCTCAAGAAAAAAACCAAATCCAATACAAAATTTAAAATTTACATGCGAAGATTCAAAAATTACAATGTAACTTACAAAAGTTACAGTGCAAGTTTCATAAATTACACTGTAATTTACAAGAAAATGCATTGTAAATTTGAGTGAGAAAATCGAGTGAGAGATAAGAAAAAAATCTTTCGAGTGAGATATAGCAAAATTGATATTTTTACGCATGGGACAGCCGTTGTGCTCACAGCTCTTGCAGTTTATAAATTTACAAAGTTTATGACCTTCAAGAAAGAAAAATTATAATGTTTATGTATAAATTCTCTCTTATCTCTCTCCCATGGATCTGATGGCGACTTAGGCTGACAAGATCCATGACGGTCAGGATTCATAGTCGATGAATGTGTTACCTCGCCAACGAGCCGATCGTGGTACACACCAACTAGGCCCCTCTTTTCTCCCCTCCACCGTGCTAGTTCTCTTGTTCAATCCCGTTTGATGTGTCACGTTTTTCTAGCCACCGCTACTCGGAAGGGAGGGGTTTGTGAAGAGTATAGCCTCACCGAATATGGTGCTTGAGCCATGTCTTTGCTCGTGTTGTATCTTTGCAAGCCAGGACAACCTTGTTTTTTAAAGGGTGTGTTTAGTTCTTTTGGGTGTAAAGTTTTTAAGTATACGGATACATATTTAAAGTATTAAACGTAGACTAATAACAAAACAAATTACAGATTCCGTCTGTAAACTGCGAGACGAATTTATGAAGCCTAATTAATCCGTCATTAGCAAATATTTACTGTAGCATTACATTGTCAAATTATGGTGTAATTAGGCGCAAAAGATTCATCTCGCAATTTACATGTAAAGTGCGCAATTGGTTTTTTTCCCCACATTTAATGCCCCATACATGTGTCTAAATATTTGATGTGACGTTTTATGCCAAAAATTTTTAATCTAAACAAGGCTTAAAGCACTAGTTTTACACACTCTCTCTCTCCTCTAAGGCAGCTCACCGCTTACGTGACCAAGCTAAAACCACACATCAGACTGGAGCATTGTACATACCCTAACTTCAAACTAGATTTTTTTTTATTAGACAAAGGACATCCAAGATTTGTCTATTCAGAGACCAACCTGATCACCAATTTGGCAACATTTACTCTGCCTTTTCTTGTCACCCCTTTTCTGGAAAAGCGTTAGTGATAGAACCTGAAACTCTGAAAGATGGTTCGCATCAGTTCCCCCAGTGTCTTTCAGATCTCTCCTGGACGGCCGGCCATTTGTTTACCACATCGAACCACCAAAGGTAAACACGGCCTGTTAATTAGTAGGCGATGTACTGTGAGCCTTACCACCTTGGATGCTCCTGGCCCCTCTTTCTCCCTTCATCGCATCGCCACATGGGTCACACGTTCCGGACAGGGCCCACCCTGAACGGCGGCCGACAGGTGGGCCCCTCAATCTCACGGCAGAACGGAACATCTGCTACTAGCTGCACCTCTCGTCCCATAAATCCCATCTCAGCTTCAGAATTTCAGTGTGTTCGTGGGTGCAGGCTGAAGAAGCTAGAAAAAGGGAGATCTACACGCACAGCCCGGTGGTTTCGCTGAAATAATGCTCATCACATGCTGAAATCTCTCTCTCCCCCCCCCCCCCCCCCCCTCATCACTGAGTGAGAATGTGAGAGAGATCGTCGTTGGCGGCAGGAAAGCCAATTCCCCAATCAGCTGCTTCTTTATGTTTCTTTACAGCTCCAAAGTCAGCAACGCGTGATATGCTAGCTAAGGTCACCCTGCGTTGCGTCCGAGCTGTGTGGCTAGCTTAAGCAAATGCATTACGCTTGTAAAGCGAGCGTACAAGGACCGCTCGCACTAAAAGGCGAGGAGCTGTCAGGTCACAAAAAAAAAAGATGGCGTGGGTGGATCGCATTCAGGCAGCCAGACAATTGGCATCATTCCCCTCAACGTCGATTAGCCCATGAATTGCAAAAACAAGGGCATTACTTAGCTTGGAACGCATGAATTTGACGGCACAGTTGGATCCCGGATTCTAACCGGGCAGAAGCCAAAGCTAGTGAAATGATGTATGGTATTGGTTGCCCTGCACAGCATTCCCTTCCTCCGAAATCATTTGCGTGATCAGTAGTGATAGTAGAAAACAGCGATCACGACACACACATGGCATGGCATGTGCACACGTACCAAGGTATCGTCCCGTACCATCCCTTTCACCACCAACCTGGCTCGTTGAGTCGTTTGTACCATCGTCGTCGGATCACACATCTCATCAGACCGCGCGCTCTACCACTCTGCTTCCGCCGTTCCGCGGCTGTGTTCGATTACACTTGTCGTGGGTGGCTAATTACAGCATGGTTAGTTAGAAGTTAACTTAAAAAACTTAAAACTTAATTAATATGATTTTTTTCAACCAACATTTCTATAAATAACTTTTAAAAGAAAGTATTCACCTCGTTTTAAAATATAAGGGATTTTGTTTCTCCATATTCATGGTTTTATGATATGTCACATCCACCTAAGTTTTAGAACGGAGGGAGTATTATTTAGATTGTTTGGAGAATCGTGCGTGTGAAAAACTAACGAGTACTCCCTCCATCCCTAAATAAATAAAACTATTTAGGTAAAAATGTGACTTTAGCTAGTACAACCAAACTGAAATCGCATTCACATCGATTGTTTTTTTTGGACGTGAGTGAGTAAAAGTTAGAAAAGGAGAGAGAACGAACTACCTAAACAGCTGACGACCCCGCGTTGCATCTGCTGTGCTGCTGCTTGCCGCGCCGCACGCAGCCGTCCGTGACGCTGCCCCCCCCTTTGCTTGCCTACAGCTAAATAAAGCCGCAAGCCGGCACCGCGCGCAAACCGCCGCCCGCACGAAAAGGACGGGAGAAAAAACACAGCAAAAACACCGGGAAACCCACGCGCGCGTCGCGTCGCGTCCGCCTCCGCTCGCGTTGCGCCTCCGCCTCTGCCGTCTGCGGGCTGTCGCTGCCGCGAGGATCGGGCACCACCACCGGCACGTGCCGCGCGGGCCTCGCCTCGTCTCGACATCTCGCCATCGTGCGGCGCCCCCACCGACCGACCCGGTGCCCGTAATCTATCGCTGCCTTTCGCTGCTCCCCAGCTGGCTAGCTACAGGCCTTTTCACCTCACGGGATCGACGCAGCTGAGCGAAAATCCCACCGGAAATGCTGTGAAATACTGCGCCAGCGTACGTACCAATAATTCCTCTTATTTTTAGATGGGAGTATTAAAGGAGATCGACCAGATCTGGAGCACAGTGAGTGCATCATCAGCTCAGATCCATCGGTACAGCAACGGATCGATCGGCTGCAGTACGTGTACATAACCCAAACGAAAACGGGGGCTCAAAGATCTGATCTGCTGGTACGATGATGCTGCAAGGGGTAATGGAGAAAGATTAAAAAAATGGGGTGAGTGCGCTTGGGGAAAATAAAAGAGAGTAAAAAGTCCAAAGTGAAAGGAATATTGAACAACGGGAGATGTATAGTACAATGGAGGAGCAGCACAACACCAACCCAACCAACCAATCTGTCCACGCCACACGCCCACACACCTACTGAATCGAATGCCTGAATGGAAAAAAAATGCCCAAAAAAATGGAAGAAAAAAAAGATAGAGAGAGAAATAAAATAAACAGCTCAACACCACCACCACAGATGAAGAAGGAAAAGGAGGAGATCAGGAGAGGAGGAGGAGGAATGGTGGGTCCCTCTGATGGACGGGTAATAAATTAATGAGGTGGTCGGCGGATCTCATCAGCCTCGATCTCAGTAGAACGCGGCGGCGGCGGCCACGGCGGCGGCGGCGACCCACGCGGCGGCGGGGGAGACGCCGGCGGCGGCGCTGGGGGGAGGGGTCACCTCGGCGGTGGGAGACGGGGCCAAGCCTGCCGGTGACGGGGCTGGTGGCGAGCTGATCTCCGGGGTGGGAGCCGCGGCCGCGGGCACGGGAGCCGGAGCCGAGGCCTTGGGGGCGGGAGCCGGAGCTGAGGCCTTGGGGGCGGGAGCCGGAGCCGGGGGAGGAGTGGCCGGGGCCTGAGCCGGGGGCGCTGACACCGGCGCAGGCGTCGGCGGCGGCGTCGCCGGAGGAGGGGACGCCTTGGGAGCGGGCGTCGGGGTGGCCGCCGGGGCCTGAGCTGATGCGGCGGCGAAGAGCATCGCCATGGCCAAGGCCACGATCTGGAAGCGCGCCATTGGAGTAGAGTGAGAGAGCTAGCTGGTGCTAGGGTTTGGGAGGAGAGTGTGTGCTTGGGGAGAAGGTGGCTACTAGCTTGAGGTGGTGTACTGTAATGGTGTCCGAGACAGTAGAGGTAGGGGAGCTTATAAAGAAGTAGAACTGTAGGAGATGTGGTTTACTACATGAAAAATACAGGTATTATCAGGGGGTTTAGTGCTAATTTTCCAACACTCTCCGTTGGATCGGAATTTGACGGTCGAGATGCAGTTTTGTTGCAGATTGTCGGTTTGGATTTTGCAAGCTTTTAAACCTTTCTTTTCCTGGAGACAGGAAGCTTCATCCGAATCATCCCAAGTGTGTTACGGCCCCATCGTTGGGATTATTGGGGGTATAAGCCAAACAGTATATTTACAAATAAAAAATAATTTGTATATAAAACTTTTATATACTGTTTTTAGCGATCTAAAAACAAAAAACAAAGTTTAAAAAATAAACTACGATGAAAAAACATCTAAAATTAACTCCAAATCTAAGATTAAAAAGTCAAATTTAAGTATAAGAAAAAGATGAGGCTGGAAGCTCCTCAAAATTGTAGAAAATCTTTCTCACATGTTTTCTATCTCAAAAATTGTTTTATATATTTTTGCGTGATTATTGGGGTTGCCTATTATGAATATGGGTGAATTACTAAACGTTTGGTCGGACCTAATTTTAGTTTTTGAAGCTTAGATAAAGAAACTATTTATATAATATTCAAGTGAAAAACTTTTAAAAGTAACTATTTATATAATAATCATAATGTAATTGTATTGTAAATATATTATAATTACAATATAAGTTCTACAAAACTCTCATATTATTAAACAAAAACCAAACCATGCGTAGCCGGTTGGCTAGCGAGGCACATTTTTACCTATGAGGTTGCTGGTTTGACACTCTTAGCCTCACAAGTGACATGGGAATTTTTCTTCCCTTCCCTCCATGAATCTCAACACGATCCAATGATTTAAAGAAAATTTACAAGTCGAAACTTTAAAAAAAATCATACCGTCAATTGTATAGCCATGTGACCGTTTTCCTTTTTGATGATGATAAACGTTGAAAGATTATAGTACCAGCGGTGTTGTAATATTCGAGTACTAATATGTGGACTTCATCAAATTTCACGGCCGATTATGAAATATTCTAGTACGAATAGGTGGACCTTTTCAAATTTCATGAGGGGCAAACAGTGCGCATGTTTTATAGTAGTATGCATGATCTTGATCCAACACTTGTTTTAGTGGAAAGCCTGAATGATTATTTTCATACCAACAAATCTTTATACTGATAATATCGGGAAAAACATTCATGAGACTAACCAGGCTTGACAAATTGCTGGCACGTACTGCTACTGCTCGCAGATAACATAAAACAGTCAAGGTTTGCTTAGTTTATGATGGCACCATCCCAGCTAAGATTAGTTGCCTAACGAAATCCTTTGAAAGGACATGATTGGCTTGGAAACTAATCAATGAAGCCCCATGTTGCATGCATTCTCTAATTTTTATTTGATGAATCTGTAGATGATTGATTGTTATTGCCCTTCTCTCAAAATAATTTGGTTCTTCGAGAGAACAAAATGATGCACAAAACACACCGACATATACTCCTACAAGATTTCAAAAGAAGGAATTGAGTATCTTGCTAGTACCAAACTTATTTCCCAATAATGTACTTTCCTAACCAAGTTGACACATGCACCTTGATTGGTTTACAAGTTCTTCTATTCTCATTTGTGTTCACCAAGATTTTAAAAAGTTCCTTTTCCCCTTATGAAGAATGTGTTCTTACAACAGTGGTACTACAAGATTAGTTTTTTAATAGAACTTCAAATCTTTACCAATTATAATTGATTTTTTCTTTATATATATTCTTGTATGTTGTACGGGAGGAGTGTTGTTATACAATTATTTTCATGCATTTGTAACCAACTCCTAAATAATGATGATTGCTAATTGGTACGTGTTGTTTTTTCGTAAGAGTTTCCCATGTAAAAGAATCATGTATCTGCTGTGTATTTATTTTCATAACATTTCTTGTGTTAGCAATACTAAAAACTTCATCCCAAAGATAAATTCAGTTGTTTCCACTTTCCAACCTAACCGAACCCTCCCAAAACCTTTAGTTCCACTCCCACACAAAACTCAACTCAACCCATAAAGTATATAGTATATCCAAGCTTTTCAAAAAAGGGAAGGTATAGAGTGTTATTCAGTTTCTTCCAACCTAAATCCTTCCAGAACCTAAAACTCTACTCTTTCACAATGTTCAACTTGATCCACAAGATAATTTCAGTGATTTCCAGCCTAACCATACTAAACCTAAACTTCCACTCCATCACAATATTCATATTCCTGAGCAGCGTAAGGTCGTCCTTATTCCAAGCAGGCCCGTTGCAAGAAACCTTGCATTTCAGAGCAACGAACATCACGCGCAATTTGGCATCGCTTCCAACCTTCCGGATTCGACAACAAAATCACAATTTTATTGTTGTCGCACATGATGAGTTGCTACAAATGTTTCGGTATGATCCTTCTAAAAAACAAATTCTTCAGAATGATCCGAAAATATCGTCCATGGAATGATCGACATCGCAATCTGTCCAACTTAACAACCAAATTAAGAACAGCAGATCGATCTTCAAAAGCACGAGTTCGTTCGATCAGTTCTATCAACGTGGGCTATGCCCAGGGTGTAATATTCCAGCAGGGATGTCCAGTGCATGCTACGTGACACCGATGTACCAACTATCCTACCAGGTGAACGTACGACTTCGTGGCGCCGAGCCGGCTACGTGACAACCACAAAGTCTCTGCAAGATCATATAAGTTGTGCCAACATGTTGTCCATGGCCTGTACGCCCATGAAGTCCTGACTGTAGTATGTATGTATATGGTGTGGTACAGTTGGAATATTTCGGCGATGACGCGTGGACGGCGGATGTTAGAGTCTGGTAGAGGTCAGCATACAGGTCACTAGAGTATCTTTATCCCCAAGCATGTTGAGTCGCTCTATTTAGTGATTTGCATAGTGTTTTTTCTTTCTCGATTATACGGAAGATGAATTGTGACTGTGAGTGTGCCCCTAACAAAACGCGAAAAGAGAGGTTGATAGTAAATCTTATCCGTATGTTCGTCATTCCTTTCATGACTTGTTTAGGAATAACCAATTCGTTGGGTGGTTCGAGTATTTCAAAAGGAATAGTACCGAATCTAGATACTTGGAGTTATGAAGGTGTGACATGCATGGGCATATGTTATGTTTTCTTGCTTGTATTTCTTGGCAGCTATCTGACATAAGGTATATTGAGACCTCAAATACCTCACTAAATTCTTATTGAAAAAGCTTGAGTTCAGCTGCTTGGCGCCGGTTAGTAATTTTGAGGAACTTAGGGAGCAAGGCTGGATTTGGATCAACCACACTATCTTCACCTTGACTCGGTACCTAATTAAGCTATTTTCTAGAGCCTAAAACCTCAGGCCGGGCTCCACCAGACAGGGTTCAACCTCTACCAGCAAATTAAGCTGTGTAAAGCTTGTTATCAATTTTATTACTAGCAGTGTAAAGTTTTTAGCAGTTGGTATGATTATGAAGGACTTATATATTCCCCCTGAAAGCCAGTTGGGAAACCAGACTGACATAATTATGCACTAGGGTGGTTCCTTGGTCATTGATGAATGATTAGGAATATTTTCCTAAAGAGGTTGCCAAATTCCATACTCCATAAACTAAAAGGTGGTTAGCACTAATAAAGCGGCTGCCCTTCGACATATATAACTAGCAAATCATAAGGACAGCCCACAGCTTGCAAAGGAGTAGTATGTCCCACCCCCAGGGTCTGGGCCCTTCAGCAACAGGACAGCTGAGCTAAGTACACCGGCCGTTCATTTCCTTCCCCTCTGTTTGGAACCTAGCTGATAGAAGGTGGTTGACAATGATTGAGATAGGAGGGATTTTTACCTGGCTCAGGCTGCACTGTAGGCGCTTGATATTCAGGTGAGATTGGCAGGAGAGGCGAGTTAACCTTTCACATGCCTTGGTTAAGAGCAGCACCGGCTGGCCCAGCTCTGTCAAATGGCCATGTTATCTTGTCAAGTCGAAGCTGGCTCTTCTCTTGGCTGCATTGGAGAACAGGTTGGTGCCTGCCTGGGAACACTGTAGCTTGCCGCCGTTGCACATGTGGAAGCTTTCCCTCCGTACCAACCGGGGTCGCCGTCAGTCGGGAGCCTGCCGCCGCAGCCCGTACCGGGAGGTGCAGGCGCAGAATATCGCAGCCTCTGCATCATGCAAGAAATACACACTGACATATGTTCATACTTCATGGGACTAATAGCATTGTTCCTTTTTTTCATGAATTTCCAGCAAAATAGATGCTGGCATACATTCTCATGGGAGTTGAGTGTTTGATGACACATTATTACGAAACAGGACCTTGATAAATGATAGGGTGACCATAGCCAGGTCACGCTCACATGAAACCGAGACGACACCTCGAGCTTTGCTGCCCCCAGAGGGCCCTAAGCCCTAGCCCATTCATTCCTACAGTAATAACTGGAAGAAATTCCTGAATGCCAAAAGTGGCCTCATCTGCCAAAGCCAACTATGATTCGGCAGTTGTTATTAGACATTCTCTATACCTGTTGCCTTTTTGAAGTGCAGACTGCTAATGTGATCAACCTGTTATTAACCAACCAAGCCAGCATTGGTGGCATTATTTTTATGCTCTCAACTACTAACTTTTCTAAGGCTTTGCCTTGAGCAGAATGGAAGAGTATGGAGCAATTCTGTATTTTGGTCCTGTAAATGGCACCCCTTCTGGTACAATATCATTTGGTGATTCCAGGTTGGTATCCACCTACAAAAAGATTATTAGAGCAGATTTAGAATGACAATAGGAGCGGAAAGGTGTGAGAAAAGAGTGATCAAATCCAGCCAGACCAATCATTGTAAAAATTAAAAGTAGCTAATGAGCAATAAACTCCAAACCAGTTTTAGCAGGATTGCTAGCACAAGTAACAACCGTATACAGCTTTTGGTTGTAGAACTGTATCAGTACTACCTATGTCTATTCCTGAGAAATTTTGTGGAAACTTGTATATCTTCTTTTAAGAGTTGGTATTTGTCCGAGCGTCTAATGTAGTAAAATTCAGAATGAGTACTGGCAGCACTTCTACATATTTAGAAATTACAACCACACCATGCTAGGATTATGTAGGAATTTACTTTACTATACGTAAGAAATTTAGCAATGCTGAAAAGTATCCATACCACACGGTTCCAACATTTATGGTGTGGTGGTGGGGGAATTACAGCGTCCACAAAATAGTCATGTGCATTGAATGCCAAATAGATATCTCCACCAGAGTTGTGATCATGTACTCTACAGTAAAATGGCAATGAAAGTCAGAAGCCAAGAATTTGGATTTTGGAGCATCATAAACAAATACCATAATAAGGTGCATAAACGAAAGTGATCAACAAACTTACGTGAATGCCAAAAATTTGCTTTCCTGGTTCTCCCAACAATCCTCGTGCCAGGTGACATCGTTCTACCAACAAGGAAGATCACAATACAATGAAGAACATTTGAGACGAAAAAAAAACTAAGAGATGCAACTGCAAAAGCTGCAAAGTGTATATTTGCTGTATTATACTATTCTAATCAGACTTGACTGAGAAAATATACTTGGAATTTCGACAGACACCAGCAGCTATTTTTTGAGAAGATGATGAAATGATTGTCTTCAATAAACCAGTTAATTGCAATGATAGCACTTCTAGGTATTACTTACTTTATTAAGAAACCTGTCTCGTCTTAATATTGGGTTGCTGTGACGAAACTTTATCATCTCTGAGAAAAACCTGAAATGGCCATCTCTTCTTTGTTCCAACTATATTCACATGGATTCGGAGAAAACAAATTATATATAGATCTGCCAAATTCATAAACATATTCCTGGTTGAAAACTAAAATAGTTACGGTAATGCAACCTGTTCCCATTGGAAATTATTAATGCAAGTATCATGTCCATAGCTATTGTTGTTCCCATAACGTGTATGACCATATTCATCGCCCATCAACATCATTGGGGTGCCCTGATATATGAAAATGGTGATTATGTGATAAGTTTATACATGATGCACACATAAAATAAACTGTAGGTTACTTCACAATGTTTACCTGAGAAATCATTAAAGCTACATGGAAGTTTTTCATTTGTCTTGAACGCAGACTTAACACATTCAGATCATTTGTTTCTCCTGTTACAGAACAAGAGCATCAATTCTAACATCAAACATTTCGCATAGCATTAGGTTAAAAATAAGGGTTAATTGGATCCATGCCACTGCAAATGTGGCAAATCAAAAAAATGCCACACATATTCGCGTTATCGGCTGGATGCCACTGCAAATTTTTAAAATAAGAACCATGCCACTCCATCACGATTTCCGTCCTCCTCTCTCTCTCTCTCACTTCTGCTGCCCCCGGACGCGTGTGAGCAGCTCAACCACCGGAGTCGAAGCCGATGAGGCGCACGCGACAAAACGCATCGGCTTCACGCGGCAAAACGGAGAAGAGGATGGGGAGCTGGCGCGACGGCTGGCACGGGCGGAGGACAGCCCGGCGCGGTCGCGGCCGGGCCTGACGGGGTTCGGCGCGGAATGGAGCTCAGGCAGAAACACCCAACAAGCTCAGGGAGTAGCTAGCTAGCTGCTACAGATGCAGCGCGCGAGGCTAGCTAGCTAGCTAACTAAACCAATCAACATACAACCATCGATCTTTGCCGCCGCCGACGAGCACGGTCGCGGAGGGGCATGGCCGCCGCCGAGGAAGGTCACGGAGGCGGGCGCGGGCGTAGCCGCCGCCAGCGAGGACGCTCGCGGGGAGGTCGGGGAGGGGGCATAGCTGCTGCCGAGGACGGCCGTGGAGGCGGACGCGGGCATAGCCACTACCGGCGAGGACGGTCGCGAGCGAGGCCGCCGCCGCCGACGAGGACGCTTCGCGGGGAGGTCGCGGAGGGGGCGCAGCTGCTGCCGAGGATGGTCATGTGGAGAGAGGAGATGGGCGTCGGCAGCACTAGTGACAAAGCTTGGGGCCAACAGCGGCGGAGTTCGAGGCTCGACGCCTCCTCCATCGGCAGCAACGACGAGCGGCCCTCCTCGCCAGATCTGGGCGGAGGCGGTGCGGCTCGTCGACGACCACGACGAGGACAGCAACGGCGGCGGCGGCTCCCGAGCTCTCCCGCGCAGATGAGGTCAACGGCGGCGGGTCCACCGCGGAAATGGTCAACGACGACGGCTGCAACGGTGGAGAGAGAGGAAGTCGGCGAGGAGGTCGCGGAGGGGCGCGGGGAGCGGACGCGGGCACGACCGTCGCCGGTGCCGTGCTGCCATCCACCACCGTGCTGCCGTGCCGCCGTGCGCCGTGCTGCCATCCGCGCCCGCCTTCGTACTGCCGTGCTGGTGCTGCCGTCGAGACGAGGACGACGAGAGGACGAAGACGGAGACGGCGGAAAATGTGACGGATTGGACGGAAATCGTGATGGAGTGGCATGGTTCTTATTTTAAAAATTTGCAGTGGCATCCAGCCGATAACGCAAATATGTGTGGCATTTTTTTGATTTGCCACATTTGCAGTGGCATGGATCCAATTAACCCTAAAAATAATTATTTCTGATTCAAAGAGGGATAGCCATCTATGGTTGCATTTGGAAAGTTCTGCACAGCTCATAGAGCTATTTGGATCCATCTTGACATTGAAGCTTCACTACTAGGGGCAATCTTTTAGTTCTGTTGAATTACAAGACATTAAATTTCAACAAAATCAATACAAGACACTAAATTTCAACAAAATCAAACTATGTCATTCTCTTTATGACTATACCTTTAATTCATACAAAGGGTTGTTTTAATAATAAACTCGACCAAGTTTTCTATCTTTACAGTACCCTACATCAGTCAGATGTATCAATTTGATGGGATATGAAAATAAGCATCTTTTTGCAGTTTCATGGAATCATGATTTCAATGTACAAAAGAAAATAGATATTCGGTAAAGCAGGTACCTTCAACACCACAGTTCCAGCTAAAGTTGTCATTGCATCCATCACAGCCACCTTCTCCATTAGCATCATTGTGCTATATGATTTTGATAAAAAGAAGGCAGATTAGCATACACTTCACAGTATAAATAAATGATCTTAACTAAACTGCTTAGCTTACTCCAGTTACCTTTAAGTTGTAAGAAACAAGGTCACATAAAGTAAATCCATCATGTGCAATCACAAAATTTACACCATGGTAAGGCTTCCGCTCGTTCACCTGCCACATCAGGTGAATTTTATTTTACATATTTTTGTTTCTTGACAAAAAATAACTGAGTCTGAACCCCTTCAGTGTAACAGTAGTTCTTAAAAATTTGTCCACAGAGGTTCCTTACACATCCTCACAAAATGAAATAATAGGTGGCATCATACCATACTGTGTTTTGCACTATCAAATGGTATGTCACTAGACCCTGAATACATTTATATCCATTAAACAATTGGATACTGGAGAAATCCTACTGAACTAACACAATTGACATGATAGAATTTGGGGCACGCTAAATGTTGATAATGACCTATGCTCTAACAGTGATACAAAAGTAACAAGCATGTAATTAAACCTAAACTTATTAGCAATAACTTTGGAAGCCGCTCTTGTTTGGAAATGGATTTTTATTTTATTTATTTTGTGTGTGTGGGGGGGGATCAAAGTTCAAAAACAAGCGATATCCTAAGCAAATGGATAAAAAATAACAGTAAAGGGAAAATAACATCTAAAAGAGGGGGACCTGATAGAGATCAGCAGATCCAGACACACGAGTCGCAAACACCCCCTTCATACCAGGGTCACCCTGAGAAACAACTCCAAATGTTTAGCAGCATCCAATCAGTCATTCGGTCGTTATTATAGAAACAAGAATAAAAGAACACAAACAGAAGAATTCTCATGGCTATGCTAGGCAAGCACTGATAAAATGCAGAATGTTCAGTAAATTCAGATCTTCAGTTGAAAAAACTCACTGATGTTTGAAATGGTTAAAAAAAATTATGCTCAAGTTCTGAAGGAGATCATCTAAATATTTGGCTCAAGAATGGAGTTATGGATAGCCAAGATCAGAGTTTGGGAAACTGCAGCCACCTAATTCTACCCCTATGTTTCAGTAACCTGGTAATCTTTACACAACTGGTACAGAGCTATTGCATAAAAGTATGTTGCCATTTTCTCAAATAATATGCGGAACTGTGATCGTATGCTTCAGAATTGCCCATTAAATTAAATAAAATACTGATTTTGCAAGGGTACTGATCCTATATCTAGTTAAACATTTAACAAAATCTCCATGTTTCCTAGCCATTGGCTGTTCCACAATAACCTAAGTTTGCCGCTAATGTTCATACACCATCAAGGACAATTAAAACTAAATATAGGTACAGTGAGAAGCTAAACTTCATTAACATGCTCAGTAAAATAACTATCCTATGGCATGGTTAATTAAAATACTCTGGCAGAAAGGGATGAGGCAAGGGAATGATAGATTAGCATAAGGGCATAACAATCCTATTCCTCAGCAGTAATTCCTGATATACTGCCATGATGAAATCTCTACCATAAATTGCAGGTGAGTACAATTTTTCTTATCTGTATTTTCTAAAAAATCTTCTCTCCCGGCATATTACCTTAATAAATCTTCGAAGATCATCTCTGTATTTGCCGTTCCATTCAGCCCACCTGCAAGAGGAATGTTAAACATGATCACCATACCTTTAAAAATAAATGAAACTCATTATAGAATAACTGATCTGTGTATGCATGGTAGGGAAAGGTCACTGAACCGCACAATGAAGCATGTTTGCCAAGTCCAATGAGAAAAGTGATACTAGCAATAATTCTCTCATTTCAAGAATTCAGTTGTTAAGTACTTTAGGAATGAGCATCTCAGCATGATATTATCCATAACAGAAAATAGTTACTGTTTTGTGTTACTGTATCACCAAATCTTTAGTCCTAAAAGAAGCAAGGATAAAACATCTATACCACCAAATTCTTTTTATAGAAATATAGAAGTGTTCAAATCACCTGTCCCAGTTAGGGAAACGCCCTACGAGATAAAGGCCGCCGCAATCCCAAGGTTCAGCAATGATCTTACATCTAGATAATACAGCATCTTTGGCAATTTCCTACAACCAAATAAATTAATATGAAGAAACATAAAAGCCACTAGTCTCGATACATCAACGTGAGTTGTATGACCAGAGATTGATGGATTAGGATTTAGATGGTCTTGAAAAGGTGGAATTTGTCATAAATACAATTTTCTAACGTTTGAGGGGGGTCACTAAAAAAACTTTCAAATGAACCTCAAGAGCCCTACATCTAGTCCATACTGTATCTTATATAGCTGCCCACATTGCAAATTTTCATGATTGCATTCCTGTGAGCTTGCACTAGATATGTATTCAATGAACAAAACCATGCAAACAAGAAAACAATCAACAATAGTGCAAAGTTGATTAGAATTGATTGCTGGAAGTTCAGTACTTCAGTACATCATAATTTGCATCCAATCATCCATATAATGTAACGTACGGGTTGTTTTTACATGAAATCTATTAAATTCACTTATTTAGACAAACAAAATTCGGTCTGCACAGGCTTGGTAAGCAGCCATACATATTTAGTGTTCAAACCTAAAGTCTGCATCTACATTATACCTTGATGAGTGGAGGTGCATCAAGAGGACAACCATCTGGTCCACGACAAAGAACACTTGCAAGGTCAAATCGAAATCCATCTATGTGATACTCCTCAACCCTTGATGCATTAAAACAAGCATGGAGATTAGAAATGACATTTGAAATATGACAAAACCATTGTCAAAGAGAAAATAAAAATGCATGCTATAATTCAGTTATTTGTATAAAAATAACTGTTTTTGTTGCAGTTTCTGGCTATCTTGTTTTCCAAGGTTCACAATAAGACATAGCCATGAACTATCTCTCATATATCAACTGTCTTGCTACAAGCCAAATAGCTACAAGCATGTGCTATAGCCTAGAGGAAATTTTGAATAATTTTAGGCTGTCGATACATCATCTTGGTCTGATCATACCAACATGAAAGCTCAAATCGATATAGATATTTTTTGACACTTGATTATGAATAATGCCGACATAGTCAAGATGAAACAAAGAAATATGGATGAATCTACACACAATTGGATTTATGAGAAAAATCTTAGCTGCAAGTTGTCCATACCAGTGTCTCAAGCTGTCAAGAATGAGCTCCTTGACAACAGGATGGTTGCAGTTCAGTGTATTCCCTAGGTTGAACCAAAACATACCGTTAAGACTTAAAAGTGAAACAATTACACTTTCAAAATTTTGAACAAATCATGTGATATGTAAGTATCTAGTCATTAAACATGTTAGATCAGCAAGATACACAAGCAGTAATTTCAGAAATAAATCATAGCATTTTTCTTAAAAGTAACCAGCTGTAAAGCTGTATAAATAAAGGCTTAACAGAAAATATAATTAATAATTTGGTATTTGGATGTCCATAGGTAAAACTGAGATATATTACATCCTTTAAGGTCTTAAGCAAAAGCAGAATTAGTATTAGATTGCAGTAAAAACAGTTATTGATATAGAGTAAAGTCCCAAATAAATTAGTATACGAGTACAGGAACCATGGTTTTACCGCAGCCTGAGAAGTTCAGTAGTTCAGCATTTTTGTTCAGGTCTAACATGTAATAGACCTGCAAGAACAGGACATCTTTTTATATAAATTCGTCAAAAACCTGATAAGCAAATTTAACCCAACAAAACCTGGTGGTTAGGTGGTGCCCGTGATAATTTAACCTGGTGAAAGCACTTTGAGCATCTTAAGTCCTAAACAGGATTAAACTAACTAGGTAAACCACGTCATCAAGCCAAAACAGTTGTTCGGCATGACTGGTGTTGCCAACTTGCCAAGAACAACAAAAAAAGTCGGGCTACGCTAACCTAGCTGCATTGGAATTAGCTAACCTAGTTTTTTAACCCCTAAGTGCAGTCTGGTCGAAAGAACAGGTGGAAGCATATAGATGCTCTTTTTGGCAACAAAACAATTAGAAAGTTCACCTTGTTATCAATGCCACGGAAAGAAGTCATATACGGGTGAGCATCATCCGCCTCATTTGTATGGTTGTAAACAACATCCAGAATAACCTGCACAAAATGGTGATGCCATTATATGTATTTTATCCTGGCGGTGCATGAAATTAACAATGATCAGTAAAATCTGCTGGTATATATTGAGTTTGGATACCTCTATGCCAGCTTTATGCAATTCTTTGACCATCTGCTTGAGCTCTTTGGAAGCAGCCACTGGTCCACCACCGGCACTAGCATAACGGCTCATGGGTGCAAAAAAGTTTATCGTAGAATAGCCCCATGTATTGACCTTTCAATTGAGAAGAGAGAAAGTCACTCTGATGGTGACTACGATGGATATTAAGCATGGATAAAGTGTATAAGTTTACCATGTGGTCCCTTGGGTTGGGGTACCTCTTGAATTCCAGCTCATCATACTCAAAAACAGGAAGTAGTTCCACTGCATTAACGCCAAGTTCCAGCAAATGAGGGATCTATGAAACCAAAACTATTTCATGTGTAAGTCACAAGCAATAGTCACAGAAATGCGAAGGAAATCAGCCTCTTAAAGTGGACAGGGTAACTAAACTCGATGATAAAAATAAGAAATTTAAGAAAGTAATAGGGAAATCTTCTAAATACAAACAAATAGTTGTGTTCATAAACAAACAAAAAATGGTACTTACTTTATCAATGAGACCAAGATAGCTTCCACGAGAAGTCGAATCAAGGCCACTTGACTCATCCGCGGTGAAAGCACGGACGTTCATTTCATATATGACTAGATCTGCCTAGATTAAAGAAACAAAAAATTGAGAACTTCATGTTTGGAACATCTTGTCAATCCTACCAAATGATAATAGTACCTCAGGCAAATTCGGAAGCCTGTAGTCATCACCCCAATCAAAAGGAGAGCTATCAAAATCATATGTTCCAAAATGCTGGCTTGACTTCTCTTCAGCAACCCCAAAGTACTTTCGACCAGAAACTAATTTTGCATAAGGGTCCAGAAGAACAGTGCTGCTATCAAATCTATGGCCTTGGTCCCATCCTTGAGGGCCACCAACACGATACCCATAAAGAACACCAGAAGCAGGCAAGCCCTGGAAGTCATAGAGAAGATTTCTTTAAGGTTGTACAGTTTTAATGAAGCATAGAAATAACAAAAAAAAATGCAGCATATATGCATAGCAAATTACATACAAGAAAAACAGGTGAAGATTATTCCTTCCATGACTACTATATAATAGATGGACAAAAATATTGAGTCAGGCACTCAAACAAACAGAGGTGAAAGCATCCTAGAAGTGAGGCAATGAACTAGCCAAGATTACCATTCAGCACTTCTTCCTTTTAGTGGAGATAAACAAGTTAGCATCACAAAGCCAACGTTTTGGCCAAATCAGGAATATTATTTCAGTACTGTTCCTCTCAAATTTGAGCATTTTTAAAAGAATGGTCATGAGTTCTAACAATAAATAAATGAGATGAGCACCCAAATCAGTCCTTTAGGACTCAAATCGGTGGAAGGGCTCCATACCATGAACACATTGTAAAATGAAGTTTCACTTTGAAGAATATGAAACATTGTAACTATAATCAAAATATGTATCAGATGAATACTCAATTCAACTTGTTGCAAGAAAGTTATCCACAGTGATTTGTCGATGTATATAGAATGATACTCTTACTTTAAAATGTACCCACAAAAATTCTATGACAGTACCTCCACTATCACATGCCATATATCCCCAGTTTTGTTCTTCTGCTGGTCTAAAACAAACTCGACAACATCTGCACCTTTCTCATCTTCAGTTCCCCTGAGGAACAGTTTAGAGTGAGAATATTAGATAGAGAATGTAACATGTTACCGTGGAAAGGACAAGCTAAAATTACAGGTTAATCTGTAAGAGATTATTTCAAGTTTTCAACCAGGCTTACACTCCAAATCAACTCACGATATGGTAGTCTGAAAAACAGAAAAGTAGTTTTCCTTTCGAGCGTCAAATTTGAAAAATGAATTCAAAATTTCATAGACTCTATGTCAAAGGCATAACAACTGCTTAATATCGTGTAGTAAGGTCATGAAAAACAAGTTTGCCATATCTCGTAAGAGTATGAGACCTAAAGTATGTTGAGCAAGTTCATAAAAAGATGACAGCAAGGAGATAGATGACATGCAACAAAACTGCCAGTTGCCATAGTTGAGACTTTAAGAGACCAGAACCCACAGGTACACATATAATCAGAAAAAGAAAAACCAGTAAGGTCACAACAGTTTTAGGAAAAGGTAAAGCTATACCTCCCAGGAAGCTTTAAGCAGAGAATGACAGAAGAAGCATGCTGAGAGAAAAGTGCGAAGTTCAGCCCGCCTTCAACTTGAGACACTCCTAATGGGAAGGCTTTACCAGAGGAATATTTAAATGGCATTTCAGTATCAGACATTGTACATCCTCTTTCCTGTGGTTACATAATTAAAAATAAGGAAAGGAGAAGGTGAACACAAAGTTAGAAAAACAAGACAAAATGGCACATCCTAGAATCAGAAGCAAAATTAAAAGAGATGGCAAAATGTGGCATGATCCAGTTTATAGATACAGAACATGTTTGCATGGAGCTGGGAACATACAAACATACCATGATTGTGTCAAGCATTGCGATCCCTAAAAACGTACATATGGATCAAATCATAATATAAAGGCCAGCAACTGCAAGCTTGGTGAGATACCTCGGTCATGCTTCTCCCAGCGTTCCCGTTCTGAGCTCTCGCCGTGGTGCTTCGTACAGAATCAAATCGCCTAACCTACACCAGCCACCAATTACGCTCGGATCATTACACCCAAATCAACATGGAAACGAGGCATCGACGCAACAGAGATAGAGACACCTGCCTTCTCAGAACACGCTCTGAGCCCAGACGCGTCCCCGAAGCCGATCGTCGCCACACCCACACTGCACTCAGGATCACCATGCGCAGAATCAGAATGCCGCCGCCTCAAAAACCGAGGGAAAAATGCGGAGGCGAGGGAGAAACACACGCTCACCGGTTCGTACTCGCGACGGAGCGGCGAGCCGGGCGGAGCGCGATGCCTCGACGAGCTGTCACGGCGGCGGCGGAGGAGGAGGAACCCAGCGGGGCGCGATTTATACCAATGGAATCCATCCAAAATGGGGACGGGGCGGAGCGACGGGTGGGGGGGAGATCCGGGACGGGGACACGGGTGCCTAGTTATAGGGCGCGCGCTCCAAGAGGCTCGCGTCGCGAGCGGCTCTCGAAGAGAGGAGAGTGGAGGAGACTGGAGAGAGAGAGAAAGAGAGAGAGAGAGAGAGGCGGATGGGGGAAGAGGACGAGCCAACGAGGAGGAGGCGGAGGAGACGGTGATCTCGCATGGGGGGAAGCGCGCGGACGGACGGGAGAGCGGGGGTGGTGGGAGTGGGACACGCGGTGGAGCGGAGCGGCCACGGTGGACAGTGGTGGATAGAGAAGTGGACGGACGAGACGGTTTCTCTCTCGGTCGCGGCCATCCCCATGGACGAGATGACCGCGAGACGGTTTCAATGTGTCATCTCGTCATGCGCTTCTCGACTGCCCCTCCCCGTCGCGTGACACGCGGTTGCTGCTTTACGTGTGAGCTGGGACGTCACCTTTCCCACGGAGGCGGCCCATGTACTGGAGGTGCGATAAATGGGCCGTGCCCATGGTTGCGCTGCCTCTTGTACACAGGCCCAATCCTCAAACTCCCCAACTCGACAAAATGGTGGGCTGATGGGGTATGAATTTTCACGCCGATGATGACATTAGAAATAGTGTCTAGAAAATTTAAGTCATGTTAGTAAACCAAATTTATTTACATAAAACTTTTCCCTTCTCTCTCTTAAGGCACCTTTAAATCACATGAATGAAAAAAGGAGGAATAGAAAAAATATAGGATTCTGACATAAATATAAGTGTAAAACAGAGGATTTCGAAACACAGGAAAAACATATGAATGACTGTTGAAAAACACAGGAATTTGAGGAGAGATAAAGACTCAAAGGATTTCTTCCATGAGGTAGAATCTCTTGTTAAAATTCCTCCAAAACTTGTATGAGAAGAGACATTCCATAGGAATTTTATAGGATTTCATAGGATTCATTCCTTTGATTCAAAGGGCTTTGTAGGAAAAAATCCTATAGAAATAAAATTCTCTAAAATTTCTATAAATTTCCTCTAAATTTCCTATAAATTTCCTTTGAATTAAAGGGGGCCTTAGTAAATTTCATGACACGTTGTCACTTTAACATATGTGACATTAATGAAAATGATATACATATGACGTTGCCGTTGACCAAAGCAACAAAGAAAGCCTCACACGGTAGATGATTCACGCCATGATAAATCTTCGTATACGCTTGTTAGCTGTGTTTATGCCGTAACACGGCCAGATAGTAATCAGATGGCACCATCGTACATATAGCAGGATTCCTCATTTAATGAGATTGAAACTCTTGGCATAATTCTAGATCCAAGATTTTATAAAGCTAGGTATTTCTAGTTCCACAAATCCTTATATCTGAATCTACTATGTCAGTGATACGGAACCGGGGGTATCAAGCTCAGAGAGAGAAGGCTCCCCCTGGTACCCACGTGGCACTCCCCCGAGGTAGGACGGCGGCCGCCCCCTCCATGCCAAGGGTCGCATGACGCCGCATGTGCAGGGTTAGGCGGACGACCCCAATGCTTACCTGACCACATTTAAGGTGGTGTGAGCGGGCATGCTACGCCGCATCAAATACAACGTGTAGTGCACCTGATCGATCTATGACTGGTCTGTGACGAGTCGAATGACCGATACGACTAGGGTAGTGCGCCTGCGCACTGGTTGCATGTCAGGTGGCACGCCGCCGCCTGACATCTCCTGTCACATCATGATGATGAGAGGTTGCTTTGCCTCTCATTACAGCCAGAGTTGATTCATCTAACCCAGCCAGAGCAGGATTTTCGTTTCCCGGTGCAAGTAAGGACCCAAAAGTCTTCCCCCATTAAATGGTGAATGACATGCGTGTCCCCCCATGTCAGCCAAATAGAATTGACGGGCCCCATGCCGTGGCGGACGTGCGAATGGCTTCTGAGGCAAGCAACAAGACGTGCATTTAACGTGATTATCCTCCCTTTCCCCTAGGCAAATTTATAGGCCCATGTAGCAGCCCCTTAAGATATAAAAGGAGGTCCAAGCCTAGTGGGGGAAGAGAGATTGGTTCTTTGGCTAACTCACGTTTGGTTCTCATTGGCTCAAAGCCTGAATTTCTTAGTCGATCAATCAAGCACAGGAGTAGGGCATTACACTTCTTAGCGGTCCAAACTTGTATAAACCGTTTTTGTCTCATCGCTCTCGAGGGGCCCGAGGCCCTCTACACCACACATCTCACCGAGTTCTCGATTTTCACCCGCTGCCCCAGCCGAACTAACAAGGGGGGCCTCACTGTCCCCCACTTGAGGAGTTCACCCTCCGATGTACTATTACATGCATAGCAATTGGATAAATAAATTTGTTCTTATTCTAGATGAAACTTTAAATTTTAAACCACTATGAATATACAAACATCAAATATACCGTGGATTTGATAACTGGATCTCTGTCAAATAAGGTCAAATGAATCCTGCACTAGGAATAAACCTATGTTAATTTCATTTTGCAATCAGTAGTAGTGTTCTTTTTACTATGATTCCCAACCATTTTTAGGTGGTCGTATTTGGTCTGTGCGAAAAAGGCCGAGGGGAGTGAATGCAACAGGACACGAAGATATGGCTCGATCAAAGAGTTGAATGCACGGCAATCGAGTCGGCTGTATTTTTCTATATTTTTTTCCGAACTACTCCCGAGATGGTCGGTGCATGCGTTGGTAATTGTCTCAGGCGTGTTCGGTGGTGGTGTTACCTTTTTTAAAAAAAGATTAATTTAATTTTTTAAGCAACTTTCATATAGAAACTTTTTGCAAAAAAACGTACCGTTTAGCAGTTTGAAAAGTGTGCGCGTGGAAAATGAGCGAGATGGGTTAGGAAAAGGGGCATCCGAACAGACCCCAGAGTTGTTGTGTTCGGTTCTCTCGGTTGAGAACTCACTCTCCCACATGTAAAACGGAGTAATTTATTAGCATATGATTAATTTAGTAGTATTAGTTATTTTAAAAAAAATAGAATAATATGATTTTAAATCAACTTTCATATATAAAATTATTTGCAAAAGATGAAAAAAAAACGTGCACTCGGAAAATGAGATATGTGAGTTGGGAAAGTTAATAACCGAACTCAACCGCAGTTTAGTACATAGCAAATTACAAGTTTCAAATTATCCATAGTCAATTAATATCCAATTTATACAATATTTACCTATAAATATATATTACACTATTAATACTTTGTCTTACCTATCATACACACATTGTGTCTTAAAGTCCGTACTATAAGGGAATATACTATGTTTATCCAAGCACAAACTCCAAGATACTGCGTAGGACTACACGATGAGGTGGGGGAGAGAAGAAAGATGAGAGAGAAATAATCACCTCTCATGTAAGAGGTAACCCTTACACAAACTTCAATAAGCATGTGAGAGTGTTAAAAATATTGGGGATTGTATGATAAATATAACATATTGTATATGTTACCTCTTAATTTAATGGTATATGTTATCTATGAAATGAGATGTGATAGTCCATTGCTCTTCTCTTTTATCTTTTATCTTCTCGATACGTGTTTATAACTGGTTTATAGTATGCTATTGTACCTGGTCTTGGACCGGAATGGGCACCTTGTTTTGTGAGTGTTTTTTCTTTTACTCATGAACTTTCATTTCTTAGCCAACGTCAACCTTGTTTTTGAGACTATGGCCCCGTTTAGTTCCAAAAAACATCCCATCAAAATTTTGGACACCTGTATAGAGCATTAAATGTAGATTAAAAGAAAAACTAATTGCACAGTTAGGGGAAAAATCGTGAGATGAATCTTTTGAGCCTAATTAGTCCATGATTAGCTATAAGTGTTACAGTAACCCACATGTACTAATGACGGATTAATTATGCTTAAAAGATTCGTCTCGCGGTTTCCAGGTAAGTTATAAAATTAGTTTTTTCATGCGTGTCCGTAAACCCCTCCCGACATCCAGTTAAACGTCTAATGTGACATCCAAAAATTTTCATTTCGTGAACTAAACAAGCCCTATGAATCGTATTTTTGGCAAAATTTCCACCCCACTGACGTGGTGTTGCTCCGCGGCCGCGCCAACCACGGGCTTTTTTTTTCCGGTGGGGAGCAATGGTTTATACGTACACAACCATAGTAGTACCATGGGCTTCAAAAGTCTACTTCTTGTACTCTTTTTTGGTCCTCTATTTTCATAGCTCCTGATGTAAGAATTTTTAGAGCCGGATGTCCGTAGCTCTATATAAATTCATAAATTTATATCTACGATTACGTTGATAATATTTTGATAAGTTATTTTATATCATTTTTAATATAATTTTAAATTTTAAACAATTACAATTTAACATAAAAACTTCAAATCCATTTGAGATCTAGAGTTGTGTCAAACAAAGCCTTATTTTCTCCTCTATATCATATTCCAATTCTTTTTTTCTAAGGGGACAAGCAGGGAGTTAGTACAATTTACTATAGAAGAAGAGAGTTGATCCAGTTTATAAGGAAAACCGGACCCAAAAACCTTACAACGGCATGGTTAATTTATGGAAAACCGGCGAAAACCCCAGCATTGATATACTGAACCTAAAACTAAGAACAACAGTCCAGCAAGGGATAAAACTCCTAAAACGAAGCCTTCAAGAAGGACACGCCGACAGAACGACGACATCGTTCGATCCTAACGAATCTAAGGTTTTCACCCGGAGAAATCCCTTGATGTGGAGTTTGAACGAGGGCTCCAATAGCAACGCCTTCAAAAAGGTAAACGTCACCCAAGGGAGTCGTCGTTGGTAGCATCGGCAAGCCGAGCAAGGCTTTCACCTCAGAGTCCCATCCAAATATAGCGTCTGCGTCGGAAGCCACCAAATGCCACCTGCACACGGGGTACCTGTACTATGCACACAACCACCTGCACAATGGCCGGACAAACGTCATTGATGACCTGCTCAGCCACCTCGCCGGACTGATGGAGCACCACTAAACTGCAGAGCTCGTCGGCACCACCGGACCATCGGCGCCACACAGGCCCACCCGTCGTCACCACCGCCATTGAGGTCCGGTCCTCGCCCAACCCCAGCTTGGACACGTCAGATCTGGACCTAGAGGGCCAGATCTAGCCGTTCCCCATCTTGCAGCGCTGCCACCAGCCAGTCTCTCACGCTAGGACACGCGGGAAACTGCGGAGCTCGCCCACGTGTAGCCCTCACAGTCGTCGCTAGGCCCCTCAAAGTCCGGATCACACCAGAGTCGCGTCAGATTTGGACCTTGGGAGGTCAGATCTGGCCGTCCCCCTCACCACCTGCCCAGGAGATGTTGGTGGTCGCCGGCGTGAGACGTGGAGGAGGAGGAACCAAGCCCGGGGCCGACGCCTCCGGGAAGCCTCAAACCTAGAGAAGAAGGGAGGGAGGAAGGAGAAAGGAAGAAAGAGACAGGGAGAAAGAGGGGAGAGGGAGGAGGGCGGCCCTGCCGTCGCCGGCCACCACCGCAGACGGTGGCGTTGCCGGCGGCGGTGAGGCAGACGGGGCGTGGCGGGGTTGGAGCTGGGCGTCGGCCTTTCGCCTCCCGGGTCACCAGAGAGGCGACACGGGAGTCATGATCCAATTATTCCAATTCTCCGTATTTCTTAGTTAGCACATGACAGGAGGCTTTCTACAATCTAAATTTCCAATATTATTCCCACACCTATAAGAAAAAATCCCATTCACACCTCACACGATTGAATAGGATTTGAAAACCTTAAAATGCTTATAATAAAGAGAATATGACATTTAACCAAACACAAGACACATACCATATGAGAAAATTTGGTGCTTGTTAACTTATTAGCAATAGCCAACATGTGATTTTGACTTTGGATTTTTTTCATCGGTCTGTTTTTCAGTTGTGGTTTTAAAACAATAATAATATAAATATATTACCCATAGATGTTTTTTTCTTGCTATGTTTATTTCCTCATGGTTCATTAGCCTGCCCAGAAGCAGGAGGATGCAAAATGGAAGGCATCGAATGAAATATGTCATAGATGAGGGTGTTCCATGCAAAATTCCCATTCCCCTTTTTAAATCGGTGCTGGGCTTCCGCCGGCCGCCGCCACCAAAGTCACGCCGAAGAAGAACCGCGTTAGGGCTTCCTCCCCCGCCGCCGGCGAGAGTGGGCTTTGACTCCCCTCGGAGCCGCCTCCTCTTCGTCTCATCTCCCCGCGGCCTTGTTCATCCCCTTCTACGAGCCTTAGCGCCGCACCGCAGGTTGGTTGGTCGCGCCAGATTCCCCTTCCGTATCGCGTTCAATATCGTATTTGGCGCCAAACGGGAAGCGCGTCTCGGCTGTTCTTTCCGTTGCTTCGAGCTAATCTCTGAGCTGATTTTGTTAATACGGACGCGCAGGTTCCAGCTCGGTGGCTGGAGTTTAATTTTTATTTGTTCTCCATGGCGCTTCGGTTCGAGGTTTGTTGAAGTTCCAAATGGGTGCATGTTCTTTCTTCGATTCTAGATGATTTTTCCCTAGTTTGCTTGTGCGTTTGATTGCTGAGATGCGAAGCAAACTCAACGGTTTCTCTGGTTTGCGCATACGCAAACTAGGCGTCCGGCTGAAGTTTGTGGTGATTAAGTGGATAAGATTTGTACTTCTGTCTGTAGTTTTAGTCGACAAGCCATTACATGTGATTTTCACTCTAATCATTTTTGTCTCATACGATCTTCTGGGAGTACAGATTCCCAATTAAGCTGATACTGTTTTATTTTAAGATTGCGTTTAGTACTCTGGATTAGTAACTATTTAGTTAAAGAAGGTAGTTGACCAATGCTGCCATAGGCACGTGCCTTCTCAGTGTTGTAATTTGTCATTGCCTAGCTCTACACTCTACAGTTGGTGCTACATACTGTATTCCTGTTAATCCTGTACTTTGTTTGATTAAATCTCTTGAGTTTTCTTTGTTTATTACCCTTCACTAAGGTTAAGCTAATATACCTATAGTCCTATTAGTGGTCCATGTAATAGGAAAATAATAGAAAAGCATGAATGTGGGCATATGTAATTGCCACGTGGCACGTCCTGTTAGAGTGGCCTAGTACCTCTAGCACTGTCACTCTGTCAGCTCATCATGGTCTTTCTGTCCAGCCTCATCGTCGGTATTGTCCAACTGATGGAAGGTGGCTGGCTGACATAGCGGTAGATCTTATATGAGGCATTGAGCATAATGACGAAACCTGAAGTAAAAATTATTCTTGCTTGCAGGTATTAGGAAGATTCAATCGTGCTCGTGCAGCTCGATTAACACTACCCCACTTTACTTGTCAGACACCACTGTTTATGCCTGTTGGAACTCAAGGTATTGTGTCTGTTGCTTTAACACTTGTTCAGTCTGAAGCAGAGTTTTTCTTGTGTAAAAAAAAAAAGAAGCAGAGTTTTCATGTTGTTTAGTTCACAGAAGTTCATGATAAATTTCTCAAAATGTTTCTTGTTCTCTGAATTATTGTATCTCATAGCATTTTAATTTCTGTTCTCTCTACTCAGGTACAATAAAAGGCCTGACTACTGACCAGTTAGAGGAAATAGGTTGCCAGATTATACTTGGAAACACCTACCACCTTGAACTTCGTCCAGGTTCTCAACTTATTGACGACTTGGGTGGCCTTCACAAATTTATGAATTGGAAAAGGGCGTTGCTGACTGACTCTGGTGGTTTCCAAATGGTTGCTCCAAATCTTCATTTTTTTAAGACATTGAATATCTATGTGGATCGTTATAACATAAATAACTAAGTCATCAACTTTAATGTTTTGCCATTGTATGTAAATACCTTCTGCTGTATTAGTTTAAATACATCACTGGTAATTGTCAAGTCTTGTTGCTTTGATAATGTTTTCCCATGAGTACCATTTTGTTATAGTGATCCCAACAACCAGTTGCTCCACACATGAAATCTGAATTGCACTTAATTTGATCACTTGATGTAAAATACAATGCTGATTTTTAAAAGACGAGAAACCTATTGATGCTGGCTTTAAAGGAAAAAAAATGAGATGACAATATCTTAAATATCACTGGTATTTTTTCTTAACAGCAGATTTAATCAAATTTCTGTTTTATTTGAAAGAAGACAGTAATTGTTCAAGATCTCTATCAACATGAGCACATACTTGTTTCCAAAGTGCTTACTCCTTTCCAATGTTAATATATATTCCCTGCTGAAATTTTACTGATCGGAAACATGCTTTTTAGGTTTCTTTGCTACATTTGGCTGACATTACTGAGGAAGGAGTTACATTTCAGGTAGATTTGTGCAGGCTACTTTGTGATGCTTCTTTCTTTTACAGATGTCAACTTCTTGTGCACTGATGTTTATCATACTTCCAAATCAAATTATTCAAATGTGCCACAGTTTATAATTATTTATTGATAACAATGTCCAGCTGTCCATGTGTTATCATATAATAATCAGGAGGCATGCTTGTATTACTGTGGAGGTTTATAAGATTTTTTTAATCTTCTTAAAGCTGAATTGAGACTGTTCAAAACTAATGGAAAATATACTGAGCAAGGATAATATTTCTGATTGTACTGGGCATCCCCTGTAGTCTTGTTATTTCCCTGTAAACTGCTATTTATTACAATGATGAACCAAAAATTCTTAAGTGAACTTGTGAGACTAATGAGAACCACACGGTTAGCTGATGGTTTTCGACAAACATATAAATATTTCTTGAATGAACAGATATATATTGCCGTTTGATCTAGCAGATGTTGCATAGTCAAGTGTTGTGGCATGGTATCATATCATATCTATGATGTTAGTAATAGAAGCCAATTTTTTTTCTTGGTGGTTCTTTTGCTTAATTATGTGTGTGAGGCATCCTGTACTTTCTTCCTTGGAATTTTACAACTGCTGAAAATGCCTCCCTCTCTGTATCTTTTATATATTTTTTTTCTCTTGACCAATCTTCAGTCACCTGTTGATGGGAAGCCCATGCTCTTGACACCTGAGGAATCTATCCATATTCAGGTGCATCCTTTTCTAGACAAGATTTGTACTTGTAAAAGTTAGAGTTTTGCGCCAATAGATTTGGTAGTTTTACATCTTATCATGTGTATGCTTATCCATTGAACATGAATGCAGAACAACATTGGAGCTGATATAATAATGGCTCTTGATGATGTTGTGAAGACCACAATTACTGGCCCAAGGATAGAGGAAGCTATGTATCGTACCCTTCGTTGGATTGATAGGTGCATTGCTGGTATGGTTATCAATATGACTTGCCACTGCCCGTATTTCATACTTTTCTGGCGTTTAATTTCACTATTTTTGTCGTTAAGTTAGAGCTTAGCATCATTTTGATTATGACTCTAATTCTGCTATGTATTTTACTGGCGTTAAGAAAAGAACATTTACAATAATGCTAAGCATGTTTAGCTAAGGTCTGGTGTTTTCTTTTGTCAATACATATAGCTCATAAGAAACCTGATGTCCAGAACTTATTTGGGATTGTACAAGGAGGATTAGATCCAGTTCTTAGGTGAGTTCATCCATCTAATCATGTAATATATCAATCCTTTAAGGCATAATTGAAATAATCAATAGTGTTTTTTTTTTTGTAATTCCAGAGATATCTGCGTGAAGGGCTTGGTTGAGCGGAACCTTCCAGGGTATGTCATAGTCTAATATTTCTCTCAGGATTTCTTTCCATGGGTAGCAAATATGTAGGCAAGTTTTTTACATGCAGCCAAAAACAAATTGTTTGTCTTTTCTGTGATTGATGCATGATCTTCAGATGTTGTGCCTGCTTTATATGCACTCTTTATTTATTTGTCGGTGGATGCACGCTATATTATCTCATATCTGATCTACAATTCAATGGCTGATACCACTTACCGTGATATTTTGTTGCCAGATATGCCATTGGTGGTCTTGCAGGTGGTGAAGATAAAGACTCGTTCTGGCGTGTTGTTGCCCAGTGCACTGCTGGACTGCCTGAAGATAAACCACGATATGTTATGGTATAGTTTCAAATTTCTCAAAGTACTCATAAAGCCAAAAGTGATATTGTCTTCTATGATTCACAACAATTTGAACCATGTAGCTTCCTTGGGTTGTTTGGCTGACCTTGCTGTTATGCTAATTTGCAGGGTGTTGGCTATCCACTTGATATTGTAGTATGTAGTGCTTTGGGTGCAGACATGTATGACTGTGTTTATCCAACTCGTACTGCTCGCTTTGGGACTGCACTTGTTCCTGAGGTATGGAACTTATCTATCCATCAAAGTCAACTATACAATTCAAGCTAGAGAAAATATTTATGTTTGATCTTCTTTTCGCACTGATAACTAGTGCCACTAATATTTTACATGGAATGATTTGATGGTCTTAGTGATATTGAACAATTTATTCCAGTTAGCATAATCTATGAGAGTATTAACATATGGAAGCAAGCTCACAATAATTTTGTTTCTCTTTTCCTCTGAGTTTGATTCTAATCTTAGCATTTGCAACCTTATTGTGATATCTCCTAGGGTGTTCTGAAGTTGAAACAAAACGCAATGGCAACTGATGAACGACCGATAGATCCGACCTGTCCATGTATGGTAAGGCTTCGTTCTACTGGGAACAAAGTGTTAAACTGCTTCGAAATTTTCTTTTTCTTTTTCTGTTTCTATTTCGTGTTCTATAACTTGACTATCTTTTCAGGTCTGCAAAAACTATACACGTGCTTACTTGCATTGTCTTGTCACAAAAGATGCTATGGGTTCCCAACTGCTGTCGTATCACAATCTATCATTTATGATGCGGGTATATTAATGAATATTTCCACATAACTTTTCTTTTTAAGTGTCACCGCTTGATCATCCACTTTTATTTCAGTTAAGTAGAGACCTCCACATGTCAATTCTGGAAGGACGATTCCCAGAGTATGTTATCATCCAGCTAAATTTTGTGTCATTTGTCAGTTTTCTCACTGTGTTGGTGAATAAGAAAGTTTCCATGCCATATTGTAGATTCGTGCGAGGATTCTTGAGGATGCAGGTATATCTTGTTCCCTAATATTATATATAAACTATCAGCACCACAAGTAAATTCTGTCATTCCTGACTCTGAGATGTCTAAGCTGCCTCCTTGATAATATGTGCTACCCATTCCATCTACAAAACCAAAATTACAATCTGTTTTGCTATTTCCTTGATGATTATCTTACTGGCTGGTCGTTTCTCAAACCAATTGGTGACAGTTCCCAAAGGGCGATGTTCCGAAGTGGGTTCGCAACGCAATGGTTGTTGCTGGCATTGACATATCGGAGTGCTGCACCCCCGCGAAGTATCCTCGTGATGCAATGGATGCTCCGGGTACTGACATACCTGAGCTCTTGCCTCCTACCAAGTGCTCCTGAGGCAGAGAACCAAGAATTAAGGGACTAACCTTATAACTGTTTACCACGACACGCGCGATTGGAGTGCTGTCGCATGAAGGTGATCCCACTTCTTTAACAAAGTCAAGTTTTCACAAGAATCTTATTGGTCATCAACTCATCATAGGTGTAGGCCTCACTGCTTCATCAGCATATAATTTTCCAACAGTATATGCTGAATATAGCTGATTGGATTTTGAACTTTTGATAATTACAAAGGTTTTTGTACTCCTATCTTTTGGAACCATAGGGTTATTATGCGGATTGATGCATGAATATCAGAATATGCATCATGTCGTCTGTAGTGTAAGCTGTTGCAAAATGATTTCTACTGGTTTTAATGTAGAAGCATTATCTACTCATTTTGTTAACGAAGAACATTCTATTCCATACAAGATGGCATCTCTTCTTCCTATATAGTTAGTACCCACAGCTCGCCACGTCATTAACGCATATTAACAGTCAGATCTTGATCGAATGGCCTTCAAACATTGCATGTATTCAGTTTGCTGTTGGCAAAAAAAAAAAAAAAAAAAAAAAAAAAAAAAAACCGGAACGAACCTCTCCGCCCAGTGGGCTGTTGGCCTAGCAAGTAACAGAAGAAAATATTTTCGTTCTTTCTTAGCAGCCAGTGGACGAAAGCGGCCCACTTGATAAACACGTACTTCCTTCGTCCCCAAAAAATACTTAACCTAAGTACAAGTACTTCCTTCGTCCCCAAAAAATACTTAACCTAAGTACAACGAATCTGGACAAAGAACTAAGAACTGTCTAGATTCATTTAGATTCGTTGTACTAGTAGGGGTCACATCCTCCCTGGTCACATCCCCTCCTAAGGTAGAGTTTTTTTTAGGATGGAGGGAGTACTCCACATTATTTTGTCGGAAAAAAAAACACGCAACCAATGAGTAAAAAAAGGAAACACGTGAAGATTGATCAACAATGTTTCTCGGTAAGAATTCTCAAATCCCGCTGCAACGCGCGGGGCATCCACTAGTTTTTCTTGTTAGTAGGCCTGAATATGATGTCTATTTTTTTGAGGAATATGGTGACGGAGTATTAGTCTTGTCACTGACAAACGGGTCCACTCCTGCTGGTTTACCACATTACTCCCTCCATCTCATAAGGGATTTTGGGTGGATGAGACATATAGACTTGTTGTACTAGGATGTGTTCTATCCACACAAAATCTCTATACTAGGATGTATCAGATCCACCCAAAAATCTTTGTGTCATATCCACCTAAAATTTCTTATATTTTGGGACTCTATGTGTCATCTCCGTCAAAATTCCTTATATTTTGGGATATTTTTGGGACTGCTGTATGTGTCCTTATATTTTGGGACTTCTGTGTGTGTCATATCCACCTAAAATTTCTTATATTTTAAGATATTTTTGGGACTCCTTTATGTGTTATATTAAAATATTTTTAGGACTCCTTTATGTGTCATATTTATCTAAATTTCTTATATTTTGAGATGGAGCAGGCCTCCTGTGACTATCCCACGAGCGCTGGAGCAAGGGGCCACGTGAGAATTGTGGCGATCGGCAGAATGCAGCGAGTCCAAATCGCGAACGGGACGTGTGAGAACCATCCAGATCGTCAGAGCTTCATCGTACGGCAGGGGACTCGCGAGCATGTATATCTAGGGGCTACACGCGTCGCCCTGCCATTGGCTGCCGCCGACGCGTTCGGCGCAACCGCGACGCCCTCGCTGGGTCCATCGCCGGCGCTCGGTTCAGCCTCAGGTAGCCCATAGGTGCCGCGATTCCTCCGGCTGCCGCTGGGGCCCACTCCGATCCCGAGTATCCCATTGGAACTGAGCAATCACAACCTGGGCATTGCACACCCCAACACACTGACAGGTGGGCCCCTGTAGGACACGTGAGACGTGGCCTCCCATGTCAGTGGGTCGGGTTCGCACCACGTTCGTATCGATAGAAATATAAAACCAGCCGTTAGTATCTATGATTTTTTTTTTCCTTCAAAAATGCCGCACTACAAGTCGTTCTCCTGAGACCGCCTCCACGAGGACCTCGACCACTCCGCCGCCCCACACTCCCCTCGCCGTCGCCGTCGACGCCGATGGAGAGCCTCCGGATCGCCGCCTCCCACCGCCCGCCTCTGCTCCTCCCATCCCCGCACCAGCTCCGGCGCCGCCACATCGCCGCCGTTTCCCTCTCCCTCCCACACACCTCGCTCTCCCTCTCCTCGCATCATCATCATCATCATCGCCTCGCCCCAACGCCTCTCCGCCGCCGCATCCCACCTCTCCTCGCCTCGCAAACACCCAACCCGGAGGCGGACAGCCCGGCCCCCGCCGGCACGAAGCTCGCCCCGCTCCTCGTGTCCCTCGCGGTCGGCCTCGCCGTGCGTTTCCTCGCGCCGCGCCCACCCGAGGTGAGCCCCCAGGCGTGGCAGCTCCTCTCCATCTTCCTCTCCACCATCGCGGGGCTAGTGCTGGGCCCGCTCCCCGTCGGCGCCTGGGCTTTCCTGGGGCTCACCGCCGCCGTCGCCACCCACACGCTCCCCTTCGCCGCCGCCTTCTCCGCCTTCACCAACGAGGTCATCTGGCTCATCGTCATCTCCTTCTTCTTCGCGAGGGGGTTCGTCAAGACCGGTCTCGGCGACCGTATCGCCACCTACTTCGTCAAGTGGCTCGGGGGCAGCACGCTGGGGCTGTCCTATGGGCTCACCATCAGCGAGGCGTTCATCTCGCCGGCCATGCCCAGCACCACCGCGAGGGCCGGAGGCGTGTTCCTGCCCATCATCAAGTCGCTCTCGCTCTCGGCAGGGAGCAAGCCGAACCACCCGTCGTCGCGGAAGCTTGGATCCTATCTTGTGATGTCGCAATTCCAGGTAATTAAGTGATAAAATTTCTCATACTCGCATGGGATCTGTTCATATAGATCGATTGCAACCAGGATTTTCTGATCATAGCAACCAAATTTTGGTTTTAGCAAGGGACGATTGCTACTTGCATTGACTATTACTGTGTCCTGCCGTTGGGCTCTGCACAAGTGGAGTGGGAGTGAGAACTGGGTGGCACATTGGTACAATCAAGCAGAACATCCTTACCTAGTAATTTTGGGTTGAAATCAGGCAACCAGCTAGGCCATTGTCAGATCAACCTAGTGTTTTGTTAGCCTGCTTACAGGGTAAATTACAATTTGATGTATTTTTTAATCATAATGCCACCATTGATGCATGAATGGTCGTAATATTATGTGACTGAGTTCATCATCAATCTAGCAGAAGGGTGAAGGTTTTGGAAAAGAGAGGATTCATCTGGTCATAAGACAACGATATTTTATAGTCCCTCTCTAATCGAACAGTAAGAATGCAGAATGACTTTGTGCATTTTGCTTTCTTACCGTTTCCATTAAACAGTAAGAATGCAGAATGCCGGTTATAATTCTCTTGGGTTTAGTACCATTGCCGTGTTTAATGTCATGTGGTGTGTCATGCATGATGTTTCTGTGCATCCTATACTTCTGTTATTCATTGTATACGCATCATCTTCAGAAATGTTTTTACAGAGTATCTAGTTTTCTTCTCCTATTTTTTAACAGGCAGCTGGTAACTCAAGTGCGCTCTTCCTAACTGCTGCAGCACAAAATTTGTTGTGCTTGAAGCTAGCAGAGGAGCTTGGTATTATCGTTGCAAATCCATGGGTAGCATGGTTCAAAGCTGCTAGTTTGCCAGCCATTGCTTCTCTACTAGCAACACCATACTTGCTATACAAAATATTTCCCCCTGAAACAAAGGATACTCCTGATGCCCCAGCATTAGCTGCAGAGAAGCTTGAGCGCATGGGTCCAGTGACTAAGAATGAATGGGTTATGATTGGTACAATGCTCCTTGCAGTTTCATTATGGGTATTTGGGTAAGCTTCTCCACTACACATCATCCTCAATCTTAATATTACGTTGTCACATTAATCCAATCTTGCAGCATTTAAATGTTTCCCTTTATTTGATTATATTGATATACCATAGTAGAGTACTTAATAGTAGCATCCTTAGGCTGCCTTAGTGATCCTTGCAGTCCCATGAAGAGTTTTTGGGCAAGCTCCTCCTTTAGTACAAGTGCTCCCACGTATAATGTTGACTTTGATATCAATACAATGTTGCAGTTTGTGACATAATTTTCTTTGTTGCTTTTTGGTTGACTAAAACTTTCCATGGAATGCAGCTAATTGCCTCCTGCTAGCAAGATACTTAATAGTTGCATCGTTAAAATACTTGTGTGATTTTTCATTCATATTTGAGTAGGGAGCAGCTTGTTCCAGTTAGCTTTCCTTTCCCTGTAGACACCAGGTCAAGTATTCCTGTATTAATCACATTTCATTTCAACTTTTGATTCTGATATGGTTCACCATTTTTTACAAGAGTCTGTCAGATTTTTAAATGTTCCTTAATTATTAGTAGGATTTTTCATATAACTAACATATGATCTTGATAACAAATAGAAAATGAGTGTTTTTTCTTTTGATGATACCATTTGCTTTAATCTGTAGCTGCAACTGTCTTGCAGCTTGTAGTTTTTTTTAAAAAATAAAATAAAATAAAAAGAAGAAAAGCTAACTCCGACCAATTCCTAGTACCAATCCTAGTTTGCATCCAGATCACCTGTGTTCCTGTACTTTTAGTATGCTAAAGGGTAATATAGTGAAGACAATAGCATTATGAATCAGGCAGTTGTTTCAGAATACCGTACATAGATAATATGCCCTTACTATCATGCTCTTGTTTTTTTGCATATTTATTCAACTATTCCCTAAATATCATGTAAAATGACTTCTGTGTAGGGATGCTATCGGTGTATCTAGTGTTGTTGCCGCGATGCTTGGACTCTCTATTCTTCTCTTGCTAGGTGTGCTAGACTGGGATGATTGCTTAAATGAGAAATCTGCATGGGATACATTGGCATGGTTTGCAGTTCTAGTTGGAATGGCAGGACAGCTCACTAACCTGGGAATTGTGTCATGGATGTCAAGCTGTGTTGCCAAGCTGCTTGAATCCTTCTCGCTGAGCTGGCCTGCAGCCTTTTGTGTTCTTGAGGCTTCCTACTTCCTGATTCACTATCTATTTGCAAGCCAAACCGGACATGTTGGAGCTTTATACTCGGCATTTCTGGCCATGCATGTAGCAGCTGGTGTTCCTCGAGTGCTGTCAGCTCTTGCTTTGGCATTCAACACAAATCTGTTTGGTGCACTAACTCATTATAGTAGCGGACAGGCTGCAGTGTACTTTGGAGGTAAATTCATGTTCTACTTTTCTGGATTTCATTTCATTATTTTCATTTACAAACGGGTTACCCTAAAAAAAAAGAGCAGAGGAAGCAAAAACAACATGCTATAACAGATAAGGCATATAGATATAGAATGAGAAAACCTGTTATTTCCTTCTATG